TATCAGAGTAATAGAAAAATCTGTTGTAAACATTACGAGCTAGTTGTAACATTTTCTAAGCTAGGGAATAAAATTTCACTACTTCCATTGATTTACTGTTGTGAAAGAAAGTTACATACCAAAAAATGAAATAAATAACAAAGGCTACTGCTCATTTTGTAATGCAATTTTTCTGAAAGTACTGATTTTACCTGACCAAATTTTGTAAGGGTAATGTTTTGATGGATCCTACAGCTGAAAGATTTACTTTTTCCTGTTATAGTACTCTTAAATAGGATTTAGAATCAGTAAAAGTAAAGAAGTAAACGTCATGGGGATATTTCCGTATCGTGATTTATTGCTCTAACTATAATCACCAAGTTAATAGTGCAATTAAGAAGAAGAAAAAAAATATGTAGAGGTTTGCTTGGAAGTGGCTAGCAGTTAAATTTTTGCTAACTTTTTTTTTTTTTTTGTTTCTCATGGGGTGCTGCTCGAAAGTTGCCAAAATAGGACAATTATTCTGACACAGATCATAAAATGTAAACTTTCCCTACGCTATTGGTGAAGATTGGTAGCTATGCTAGAAAGAGTTGTCAAATTTTGGTGATAACTATGCAGTAGAAGGGAAAAAAATTTTGAAGAAATTTTTTTCTTTAAAGGCAAAATATAAATAGAGGTTATTTCTGCTACATGATTTGTCGTGTCAACTACAATGGCAAAGACGCCAATTTAATTTTTAACTTGCAAATTTTTAAAAAAAACATGTAGATTCTTGCCCAGTGTTAAGCTGTGAGTTATATGCCTTTCAAGTTGGTCCCTATTTGTGATGATTTTTTAAGTTTTTTGTGAGCCTTTGACCCAACATTTTCAATACTTGGTGATTACTCTGCTGCAGATTATGATGTGGAAATTTTCTCTAGAGACCTAGGTTAAAATCCCAGCACTAGCTGTTGGATATAAATTCTTCTCACGGATTGCAACAACCACAGTGCTGGCATAAAATATCTTGAGTGATAGACAGATCCTGAGTTAGAATCTCTTTGCTATGGAACTAACTGAGGGAGGTTGTTGTGGTTTTCCTCACCATGTAACACAAATGCGGGTTAGTTTGGTCAAAGAGTCTACCACGAAAGCTAATTTGTCCCAATGCTTGATCAAGCTATTCCCTTTTCTTTTTGTTTAGGCTCAAAATTACAAGGCAACGGAGGTCAACATTGATAGTTGCTAACTCAGAATCTGTTGTTCACTGCCAGTTATAGATAAAAATAATATTTTTGCATGTTAAGAAACTTTTGTTCCATTTAAAGAATTTTAGATAGTGTCATATTTATTGCTTCTAACCTGAAAAATGCAAAATAATCTATGGCAGTAGCAGGATTTCTTGATAGTCGAATGAGGAACACAAGCATCAACTCATAAAATTTTCTTCCTTTAAATATCAAGAATTATAATGAGAGAAACGATTTCTCAATATGAAAGAAAAATAAGGAAATATAAAAAATGATAGGTATATTAAATCTGTTTTAAGCGCCAAGAAGAACATGTGCCTTTTGACTTGCCATGGGTCGTCGCTGTTTACCAAGATATATTTTCAGATCAGATTTGATGTTCTTAATCTGCCTTTTCAAATATTTACTCCTAAACTGCATTATTTATGGAAAGGAAAATCTTTGCAACCCTGGGGTTTTGTTTAAATCACAATTAAAAGCAAACATTTTTTATTTCATAAACAAGTAAATTTTCTACTAATTATGTAAATTTTGAATATTGCCAAATAAAAAAAACAATTTCTCACTTTTTTTAAAGAAAAATTTAGGATTTAATTTGAATTCATATACTTTAAATCATATATCTGCAATTTTTTACTGTTTAGGTAGAATTAGAGTTTCAATAAAAAAAACCTACTTAAAATAAATTAGTTGGATTAAATTTTTTTTTTAAATCATGAGGGTTATTAAAAATGCTTAAAATAACCATCACTAATTTCATGTTTGGTTAGTTTTGAAAATTAGTTAAATCATATAGTTATTAAAATTTAATTTTTATATACTTGTTAAAGATGCATAATATTTGCTGCAGTCAAAAGTACAATTATGGGATTAAGGTGCTTTTTTAAATTTTATTTTTTTAGTTTAATTTTGGAATTAGTTTCTGCTACTTTGGTAATTACATTTGTATTTTAAATATGCAGTATGCTTCATTGTAATATTTCAAATTATTATTTTTATACTATATTTAAATGCTGCAATACCTTAATAAGAACATCATTATATTTTAAGCCCCATTATGTTAAAATAAATTCCAAGAAAGTAATTTATTTTGTTTTTTCATACCTAAAATATAATTTTACTATTTTATGTATTCATATTAATGTAGCTTATTGATCAGTTTTACTCCTTTTCATCATTTTTAAATATTTTTTAATTGGATATCTCATTAATTGAATCATCGTCTTGAATATATCATGACTCTACATATTAAAATTTTTATTGATTTATTAAGTAAGAAAACAAGAAATTTTCTTCATAACAATTGATTGATATTAATGCTTCAAATTGTATACTGCTAATATTAATGCTGAAATATTAAATTTTTACACATACTGACTGTTAAGAAAGAACTCACTCACTACTAAAATAACATTTGGATATTAAATGTTTAGTTAGATGTTAAGTGGAGTTGAGAAGTAATAAATTAGCTTATTTAAAATTTTTAGTTATAAGGGAGGGGTCTAGCTATTTAGGAATCTAAACAAACTTTCTAAAACCAGAAGAAATATAGAAAACTTTTGATGTATTCCTAAGGCTGTGAGCAAATTTGATTTGATCAATGAAATTTAATCCACCACAAATCCTTTATGATTACCCCCCCCCCTTTTATATGGTGGATGTTACAGAATGGGGGCTCAGATGGTGTGAAGACGCGTCAACAGAGAGGGTTATTATTGATAGATTTATGAAGAATTAAAATGTAGAAAACCTTAATTTTCAATTTATTTTTGTAGAAGATAACATTTATTTCTATTTGTTTTTGTGGGGTGTATAGCTTCATTACATGGGTGAGGCAGAACGAGAAAGTTAAAATCCTAATTTAAAAATGAAAATAATTTTTCTGAAAATTTCTTAATTGATAAAGAGTAATCACTATTTTTCATTCTGATTTTTTTTTTTTTTTTGTAAGTTCACCTATTTTTCCGAATGTTTCTCTACTGCTTCCCTATGGTTTTTTAAATTAATCCTATATACTTAAACATGCAAATTTCGAATTTGGGTAATCACTTTTTTTCAAGCGTAGATTCATGACGATTCTATCATAATTTTACGTCGTTAGCTCAGAGTTTAACAGCGGTTATTTATTATTTTTTGGTACCATTAACATTGTTTTTCTTATTCCACTATTTTCAATACCGGTCGTAATTTTTATTACGACCTTTTGATTTTCAGTTATCACTTTTTGACGCGTTCGGTGTTGTGATAATTCCAACGTAATTTTATATTTTTAATTTTATATAAAAGNTATATATATTTTGGCAGTTATTTATTATTTTTCGGACCTTTTACACTTAGTTTGAATTTGAGTTCTCAATTTCTAGCGCTTTCGATTTTGAGGATTCCATCGTAATTTCACGTCAGTCGATCCATTACATTTTTCGAATTTAGGTATTTTTAATATGTTATTACGACGTGCAAATTTCAATTTTGAGTTATCGCTTTCTTGCGCGTTTGTTGCGAGTCAATCAATATTAACGTCATGATGTTAAGTGAAAGTTTTTTTTGGCAGTTATTTATAATTTTGTGGACCCTTTTCACATGGTTTTTTAAATTCTGATATTTTGAATATGATGTTATTACAACGTTCGAATTTGAGTTACCTCCACTTTGAAGCCTTACTATACATTTTAATTCTTTTGTCACTTCACGACGTTGGACGATAATTTTTTCATCTTTAATTCTCCGTTTTTTCGACCTTTTCCGGACTGTTATCCAAATTCTGATGTTTTTAATACGCAATTACGACACGCGAGTTTCGAATTTGAGTTTAGACATGCTCGATTCGTGACGAACTATATTCAAACTTAGTAATTTAAAAGATTAGCTTGTTGAAATAAAAATTTTAATTAAATTGGCATAAAAAAAAGATGTTATTAAGTTGTAGCTAACGTTTGATATCTAAGCATTATCGTAATCAAGCAATTTTCTATTGGCCTTCCTGGAATAATTGGGACTAATTTTTTGTAACTTTACATTAGGTTCCTATAAACATTTTTTTAGATAGCTCTCAAAATTCGAATTAGAGGTTGGTGCTCTCACATGCCTCTCGCATTGATTTTATTTGCGTTATATATATATGTACTATTTATATTGCGCTAAAGAATAAGTGAAAGGAAAATGTACTTGTATTTTAAATTGTGACAATGCTTAATACTTTTCTTTCCAGAAGAACCTCCCCTTCCAACAAATAAAATTTTTTTATAACAATTTGTAAAATTAACTGCTAAAATTGGCTGGGATAGCCTGGACTCACCACCGTGAGGATGAGAATTCGAATCCAGCTGGCGGAAGCCTCACCTTGTAGTAAATGGTGGCTGATCCATGTTACATCTATCGAGTCACAAAGTCCTCCATGTTCCCATAACAAATCATACCTGGTACTGGATCGGAGATAGATCGTTCTCTGGTTAGGTCAAAATTATGATCTGTGTATACATAAATGTGGTCCGCCCTATAAACAGGTGTGTCAGAAGTCGAATTCTTGGCCATAGATGGCGGCACTGGAAAACAACCGTTAAAATTGAACTTTTCATTCTCTGTCCGAATTCCAGAATCCTAGTACAAACGTTTCTAGAGATATTAAAGTGATTCTTAGGCGAACTGTTTCGTTTATTTAACTATTCCTTTCAAAAAGGCTAAGAGAAATATTTTTAACTTTTGTTTCAAAACTGCTGCAATAATGCTTAAAACTGTATTTGATGTATTTTCGTTATGTTATGAAAAATAATGATCTCTTCCATCCTTTAGTAGAACATGCTGTTCTGGCTGCTCATGAGTTTGGAGAACGTGAGTATCATATTATTTATTACATTCTTAATTAATGGCAAAATATGTGGGAGTATTTTACAATTTTTGCTCACTACTATTTTCACGAAAGATATGAATAATTTTCAAAATGATTAAGACCTTTATGGTAGACAGAATCATTAGAGGAATGTAGAAAGGTTTAATCTGAAACGCATTTATTAAAAAACAAAAACTGATATTAGTTTAATAAAAGTTTCCAATCTTATCCACATATCATTAAAAGTCATAACTATACAAAACATATTAGAAAATTATGATATCAGAAATGCTCCCATACTTTTAGCACTTCATATTTGTATACCGCTGCCTTTTGACACTAAAATGCCATACGTCAAATTCTGGCTTAGCATCATCTGTTGGGGGAAGGAAGAGAAATAATTTATTAATATTCTGAGCAAATCATCAGGTGTCTCAATCTTCAAAGAGTTTTCATAAGTTGCCTTCATTCAATTGTGACAGCTAAACCCTCAATCACAGGAGGATGTGATCATTTGTGGAATAGTACAAAAATGTTATAACCAGTAACATACTTGGGAATCTCACTGAACATTTTTCGCTGCTTAATTTCTGAGTCAATGTTAGTAAAGCGAACGTAAACTTGAATTTTTACTAACAAAACGCCACTCATTCATTCAAGAAATTCGAGTTTCTATCCTAAATTCAAGAATTTTTTCTTTGGAAGGCCAACCGAAGGTGTCAAAAGCATGCAGAGATGATAACGCATGCGATGACATAGATTGCAGTCCCGATGACCTAGATTGCAAAATCACTGTGGTCCCGCAGTGGACTGATCGTTAAGGTGATAGTGGACGTTGAAAGTTGAGTTGAGTTGATGATGAAGTGGATCTATGCTATTCGCGTTTTTGGGGCCACCCTGTGCCGAGCGTTATCGCCGGCCAAACTTTCTGTAGCGTGGAGGTAACGGGTTCGAATCCCGCCCTACCCTGGATGTATCTTCATATTGTCCTTACTTGAATTGTACTATCTGTCNTAGAGGATCAAAATTGTGATGGCATGTCTTCGGATCATCCTCAGGGATGTTTCCCAGACCGTCGCCAATAGCCCATTGTGCAGCTCTAGTGCGACGTAAATTTAACAACAGCAAGATCACGGTGACGCTGTCACAGAACGTTACAGAGTTCTTGCAGAAAGAATTTTCCTTTAGGAAGTAAAAAAAAATTGGTTTTCTTTTCAGCAGAAATTTTCGAAATTTTTTTTCTTTTGAATTATATTTAAAAGATACCTTTTTCTCTCATCGGAGGGGAAAGAAATGTTCGCGATTTTTCTTTTCTCATTTAAGAAGAATGAAAAATAATGAAGTAAAAAATTTCTTTTCTACAGAAATGTTCGAAAGATTTTTTTTCTCTCCATAATTATGTTCAAAAGATGTCTTTTTAATGCATCAGAGGAGAAGAAATGTTCCTAAATTTTCTATTCTTATTTGGGAACAATAAAAGATAAGGAATAATGAAGTAAAAAAAAAAATTGGTTTTCTTTTTAACCGAGATTTTTAAAAGATATTTTTCTTTAAAGTTATATAACCTTTATATTATGTTTTAAAAGATTACTCTCACTTTCATCCAAGGGAAAAGAAGTGCTCGTGATTTTTCGATTCTTATTTAGGAATTAAAAAAAATTTATAATGTTTTACGTGACAACTATTCCTAACATATATTCCGCTGAAATATATGTTAGGGGAATATATATTTCAGCGGAATATATACATTCCCCTGAAACTGAACATTATCAAATTTTATATATATAATCACGAAAGTTGAAAAGATAGTTCAGTTCTAGAAATCATGTTCTTTCATTCATATATATGTATATATATTTTAAATACACCATCTGTGAATGGGGATTTTGTTACGAATTCAGATTTGTAGCAAAATTATGTCCTATATTTATTATTTTTTTAAATTTGATTGAAATAAAATCGGTCCAATAATTTTTTTTTTTAATTTTCATGTGCGTAATTACGCATGAAAATTTTTATATCAAGTATTTGAGCTTTCACTTTTTCGCTCACAACTTGAGCCGATTCCATCGTAAATATATGTAGTGTTATGATCATTTTTTTGGCAATTATTGATACGAACTTTTGCGTTTTTTTTCTTCGAAATATCAGTGGCTTTCATTGCTCGTGAATTTTTGAAATATACCGCAGAATTTTTGAAATATATTACGGCACGCGAAATTCGAATCGCGGATTCAAGAAATCACTATTTGATACTCTCGTTTTGCTCCGATATTCTCGTTAATCCCTGCTGTAATTCAATCATTCTTTCAACAGTTATTGCTACGAATTTTCACATTTAAAAAAAAAAAATATATATTTCTCGTTTTTAATAGAATTTAATTATACGCGAAACTCAAATCAATTATTAACTTTTAATGTTACGGTTTCATCGTTTTTTCCCCAACTTTTATCGCTAGTGTAGTGCTACCGAATTACACGGTTTTTTTTTAATTCCGGTAATTTCTCAGTTAATATTATTCCTTCACGTAAAATTTAAATTGCTCATTTAAATAGTCACTTTTTGACGCGCTCACTCTATGCAGGTACAGTACAGAACCCTTTATCCGGAAATTAGAAAACCGGAAAACCAAAAAACCGGAACGAAATTCGATAAATTTTCCCGCCATTTAAAATTTTTTTTTTTTCCTCTTAAGATTTTAGGATTTTTCTTTCTTTTTTGAAAGATGTTTACCTTACCATCATTTTGGAAATAATCATTAGTATATTACTTCATCTTTTTTTCTTCTTTTTAAGATTATTTCCAAATATTTTTTTTTTAGTTGGGTTTAACAATAAAAAAAACGGCTTTTTGTAGCGATTCAGAAAACTGGAAAAATCAGTTATCCGGAATAGCGATTGTATTTTTGGCAGTTATTGACAGTTTTCCCGTGGTTTTTAAATATCCCGATATATTTTTGACAATATGGGGAATTCGAATCGCGCATATGAATATTTTTAAAGCAATGATAATATAATTTTTAAAGCAATGATTCTATCACTTTTTTGGGGGGAGAGGAAGGGGCATTTATTTCCTCACAGTTTTTAAAATTCCGTATTTTTAATAGGATATAATTTATTGCAACAACCGAATCTCGAAATGAAACACGCATTCGGTACCCCCTTTTTGTCCGATTCGCGCGATTTCGCCGTCGATCTTTTTTTGCGGTAGTTACTGCTACAGATTTCATTAGTTTTAATTATTATTATTCTAATTTTTTATGGATGTGATTTTTTTTTAACGAAATGTGAAAAAGGAAATAATTAGTGTGTTTTCCTCGAACAAAATGTGTGAATATTGCCCATGATATTTAGAATAAAAAAATATTACATATACATTTTTAAAAAAAGTTATACATAATTTTATTTTATCCAGATAGTTTTTTTTTTTTTTGATTGAATATTTGTAGGCNCGTTTCTGTTACTTTAAATTAGTAACATGTATATTTGTTATTATTAAAAGTATCTTGCAGGAAGATATTAGTGCTAGAGCTGTTTGCTGCAGAAAGCCCAAAAAATTCTACGGGGAAGGCTTTGATGCACATTGTTGCTCTTCGCATATTTAATTAATCTCTCTCTTTAATTCTAAAACTATTGCTCCCCATTTTAAATATTTGTCAACTAAGCACCTTCAACTCTTGGAAAAGTATTAGGTTTCTGTTTTTGAAAAAAAAAATGTTTTTGCTTTAGCTTCAGTTTTTATACGTATGTATAAAGCTCTTAATATATTTAGAAAATAAAAAGCTTGTAGAAGCCCTCTTAAGAAGACATCTTAAAGTATTGAGCAAAATTTAGAAATTTCGCAATTGGCCTGTGTGGACCCTTTTTTTTTTTTCCTTTCTTCAGAAATTGTAAATTGTAAATAAAGAAACTTTTGATATAGACCTTTTTTTTTTTCAAAATGTGCAAAAATTACAAGGTTTATTTCAAAATGAAGAAATACTTTAAGAAACAAACTTGAAGCAAAGTAATTTTCAGAATATTATTAAGTATTTGTGATAGTTCCATATTTATTAAAATAGACATGGTGGATTTTCAACAAAAAAAGTGGCACATAGTTTGCAATTTGTTACATTTAATTTTGACCTATATATTAGAATAAATGCCAATGTTTCTTTTTCAGTTGATATATGCATGGAACCTCCGCCCCCCATGAATGGCGCATTATCTTGCTCGAAACACAACACAAAAGCAGACAGGTAATTTACTTTGGTTCTGTAAGTTAATAATTGCTTTCTATTTATACCCTAAGTAAGTACACCCTAGATCAGTGATTCTCAACCTTTTTTCTTCTTCTTTTTGCGGCACTCTTTTAACGATTTTTAAATTTGATAGCACACAAAGAAAAAAAATATGTTATTTTTTTGTGATTCCTTGTTATCTTGCTTTTTTGCTAATTATTAATTGTTAGCTTGTTTTTTTGTGTTTGTTATCCTTTGTTAATTTGTTTTTATAACTATTAATTGCATAGCTTATTTTAATTGTTTGCTTTTATTTCCTTTTGTAAGTTAACATTTAGCTTGCTTTCTTTTGTTTATTAATTATTTTAATTGTCATTAATTTTCCTACTTATTTTAAGATTGTCAGAGACAGGACTATCGCTGTTAAAGCATGAACAAATTATAAAAAGTGTATATATATACAATTAATATTATATATAAATAATTTTCTTTAATTTAAACTTTACTCGTAATACAAAAAAAGCATTATAATTTTTACTACATGATTTCTAAAATTTGGCGGCACACTTTAAGAATTTGGTGGCACACAAAAGTGCCGTGGCACAGTGGTTGAGAATCACTGCCCTAGATGATGATACTCTTCAAGCTAAGAAAAAAAAATTTTTAATTTATAAAATACAGCAACTGGTCAACTTTTAAGTATAATTTTTAAATTTTAGAAATACCAACTTTAATTTCTACATTTTGCATTACCCAGGTTTATCCCCCACTTTTTTTTAAACTCTATTATTTTGTTTGATTACTTTATTCACGATTGTTCCCTATAACTCAGCCCTCTTCTCTATTTTTTTCCTTCAGAATTGTCTTCTTAACTCTTTAATTCATGTTTTCTGCCTTTAGTGATTCTGGTAGACTTTGGAAACTACGGGTTCTTAGGACTCACAGAATCTGCTTTTTCAGATCCTTTTTTACTAAGAGTTGATCGCTATTTAAAATAATATAAATCTCCCTTTTTTTTGATATAGTGCATGAAAAGTGAATATTTTATGATTAAAGTTAAAAAATGTGATTGGTAATTGCTTTGATTCAATGATAATTCGACAAAGAATTAAAAACAAAATTTCTGCATCCATTGTCCTTAACAGATCAAAATCGGGCAATTTTTTTCAAAAGATAATAAGATACATTATATTCTTTTTGATATGCATTAATTCACTATGCTGATTGCATATACATTTGAAATAAAACTTCACTAAAGGTAACATATAACAAGTATCACTGAAAACTGGATAGTATGTTATTTGTTTGTAAAGGAAGTTAAAAATAAATAAGTAACATTATTCAACTTAAGTGTAACTTTAGAATAAAATATATAATATGAACTGATCATGTTAGCATAGAAATATAATTGAATAGATTATTTTCACATTCAAAACTCTGCATGGATTTGCAATGGAATCGAGCATGCCAAGAAGTAATTACTGAAATCAGTGCTAATTTCTGTATTGTAATCTAATTATAAAAATATGGGAATTTTGTTGACTTAATTTCATGTCTTTTTGCAAGAAATTTTTTTTAAAAGTGTCTTTTTTTTTGCATTGAAAAGTTTAGTAGCATTTTTTTTTTTTTTTTTTTTTTTTTTTTTTAAATTTTTAATCAGACCAAAAGTTTTTCCAGGGAAGCCAGAATTTTCCCCCGAACCTTGCTTGCACGATCGGATATATTCTACACTCCTTCATCCCTTCCCTGATTATTTATTTGTCAATCTACCTTAAGTATTGATTATAGCTAAATTTGACATTTAAGTTACTATTTATGCTTTTAACAGATATGTATGCAGAGCAAAATGCAATGCTGGGTTTCAGTTTCCAAATGGCAAGTTGAAAGCCAGACATTTATGTGATTTGAAAACTGGAAAATGGGCCCCTGTTTATGCTTTTCCTGATTGCATCCGTAAGTACTTCTCGTGCATTTTTATTTATTTTGTAAATGAATCCCAGTTAACACAATTAATATTTTATCAGATATTTGCAATCCAACCTGCGAAAATGAGGGTCAGTGTACTGAAGGAAATCATTGTGTTTGCATTCCTCAATATCGTGGAGATAGATGTCAGTACAGTGAGTACTTTTTGATATCCGATAGCTATTTAAGTTATGAACTATTTCTATGGAGCATGTTTTCTGCACTAGGGTACACAGAAAGCTCTTTACTGCCTATACTTCCAGGTTACTGTTTCCGATGTATTTTATAGTCCTTTGGCTCACAATTTGAGCATTGTATTTTGAGACTATCTAGAGAAGTATTTCTTGTACGTGTGTATTTGTTACCTGATTTATTATTTGTGTTTAAAAGAATAATCGTCATTTGAAGACCTGCCATTTCAAGTCGTAAGAATCGTCATTTGAAAAATAAAATAAAAAAGGAAGATCTTTATAATACACTTTTTACTTTGTCAAAATATTCCAACTTTGAAATTTAAACCTAAATGATAATTTGTTGAATGAACTTAATCTCACTACTCTAACAATATGCTAACACGTAATATGCTAATATGTAATAAATAATTAAAAAGGCATTAAATTATTTTCTTGAAATTAGGCATGAAAAGGGTGTTAAGTTTCAATTTTCCAACGCATTTTAAAGTATTTTTTCTCCACACCTTCTATTCATTATAGTTTTCCTCCTTTAGATAAAGCCTGGTGTGATCCCGAACAATATTTTCATTCATCTGGCCAATGGGCATGCAATAACACGGATACAGAAACAACTTGTGTTTTGACCTGTCCTCTGGGAACAAAACTTGAAACTAAACCAGCGGATTCCTACGTTTGTGATGTAAATGGCTCGTGGAGTACAAGCTTTGCACCTCAATGCATTCCGAGTAAGAATCCAATTATTGCAAAGATGCTCGCAGTATGAGTTATGATATATATATATATATATTATTATTATTATGATTTTTTTAGTAAACATCATTGAACCCCCTGCACCACAGAGCCTTTATCCACTATCCTATGGTAAATCACTTATTATTATTTTTTTCATTATAGAAATACTGTTATTTATTTAATCATTTCTACAATATTTTATTTACTTTTATTTCCCTCTTTAAAAACTTTTTTTTGGAAAAAGATTTATCGTATGAGTTTTCCTCTAATTTTTTGTGTCTATTTTATTCAAATTCAGCGTGTCTCAATAGTTCTAGAATGATCAAATATTTTGAGAAATTCACATGGAGTAAAAAAAAATCATGTTTGTCAAAAAGCTATCCTATGACTCTAGATTCGACCCATCAAATCTATTACCCGGGATCGGGCAACTTTGAAACGTTAAATAAGACCCTCCATTTTTTAAAATGAAAATACTAATATTTCCCAAGAGAAACTATTCAACTCTGGTGTATGAGTTTTTATTTTTGGAGATTACACCAGCATCTCAAAAATTGGATATCCGTGAGTGATGTCACCTGTGGCTAAATTGTAGCATTTCGTTTATGCCATGATTCAGCAGCCAATCAGGTTTTGACATGACGTGGCTTGCAAGTAGCAATTAAACCGAAAATTGATTCAGCATAATAAACCAAGCCTAATAGCTGTACTGTTAACACCTTATGCGCAAGCATGTGATTTTAAAAACTTTATGGAAAATGGTGCATATCATTTCTAAAAAGTGCCTATAAGTGCTTATTTTCATTTTTTAAAAGCCTTTAATGGTGCTTTTTTCATTGTTTTTTTTTTAAAAATTGCTTAATTTTCTTTTTTTGAAAATGAGGTTTTAATTCTTTACCATGACGATTTTCGCCATGTATTATGCTCACATTGTTCTATTCAACGTTTTCACGATTCATTCAACCACAATCCATTTCGGCGTACCGTTGGTCCATAGCGTATGAAAGCCCCAATCATTTTGCTTGTTTTACATTATTTTATCATGATCATGTAAAATCTTTGAAAATTAATTATCATTTTCTTAATGTAAATATTGCTTAAAAGTATTTTCTAGTGCTTATTTTTTGTTGAAAGATTTGGCTACGCTCCCTGATGGAAATACAAAATAATATTGCTAAGATACAATAAGCAAGTTTTCACCAAAATCATTTCGAATCAAGCCTATCAAGAACTGATGACTCAATTGCATGGTTTGAGATTTATTAGTCATAAATATATTGTTTAAAAAAAAGAAAGAAGCGAAAAAAGTGTGAGGCTGAATTGTGGCATTTGTTTATGCCATGATTCAGCAAATCAGGTTTGAAATCTATTCATGACATCGCTTGCAAGTGGAAATTAAAGTGAAAATTGATTCAGCGTGATAATGAACCAAGCCTAATAGCTGTAATGTTAACACGTTATGCACAACCATGTGATTTCAGTGGTCCACTGGGGTAGGAGGTACCCTATTGTTGCCGAAATCATACTTAATGACGATAAATTGTGTCACATGAAACATCACACATTCCTTTCGTTGTATACAATGATAAGATGTATTTAAGACAATTAGGATTTTAAAAACTATATGGAAACCCAAAATAATACTGCTAAGATACTATAAGCAAATTTTCACCAAGATCATTTAAAATCAAGCCTGTCAAGAACTGATGACTCAAATGCATGGTTTAAGATTTACTTGTCATAAATTTATAGTAAAAAAATAACGAAAAAAACCGAGGTTCTAAAGACAATGTGGCATTAGGAATATTTTAAAACTGAAATATTGCACTGCCGGTTGCATAATTAATTAAAATAATTGATTTGCATTACAAAATGTATTGGATTTAATTTTTAAATTTTTTTTGTCTATCATGTTATATTTTTGACCCACTAAATTTTCACTAGTGTGAACCTTATTCTCGTTCTTGAGTTGATTTCTGTGAGTATTTCAGGAATTCTGTCATGGAGTTACCACTCCACAGGGAGAATAGGGAAAACCTGGAAAATACAGGGAGTATAAAAAAGCACCAAAAATAACTGGGGGAATGTAGAGAATTTTGAGTTCTTCCTTGCAACCTGGGAAAACACAGGGAATTTTATTTCATATTTTCGTTTTTTAAAAATTGGTGGCCTCTTTAAGCTCTATCTATGAGATATTTACGGATATATCAGCGATAGTAAACTATATATTATTATATAGCATTATAACTATAACATCATAGAATAACTATAGCATTATTCGTTTTAAGTATGTCGAGCTGTTCTTTATTTCTCAAAGTTTTTCTAGCACTTAATTGAAACTAGTATAGCTAGCCCAATATAGCTCACACAGTGATTGCTTATTTTCTCTTAATATATTGTTTATATTATGTACAGGGAGAACACAGGGAATTTTTTTTTACAGATTTGAGTAGCGACCCTGTATGAATATCATCTATAATTTATTGTGTTTTGCAATTTTCTTTCATGCAATCCTCAGTACACAAACAACCAGGACAACCAAGCAGTGGTGCCTGCGCAACATGGAGTGCCCAACATTATCGAACATTCGACGGGGGCATCTACAGCATCGAAGGTGGCTCCTGCTCTTACCTCTTAGCCAAAGACTGCCAACAGAACACCTTTTCTATCCTCATTCAAAACTCCGTCTCTTGTGATGCGGTCACTTCATGCCCTACTACCATAACCATCTATTCGGGATCTGAAGAATATTTAATTTCGAATGATGAAGTCGGTCCCATAGTGGACAGTGGTGGGGAAAAATACAATATTCCTGTTGTGATCAATGGAATCATCTTCCAAATGCTTTCGGATTACGTGACAGTGAAAAGTGCTCTCGGATTCAGGTATGTCCTTAAAACACTTCATTTTTTAGAACATTAATACTGTCAACACCCGAAATAATGACCTTTGAGATAGGACAGAAATGGACATTGTAACGTTAAATACTTATATCATGAGTGCACAAAAATACTGTGAACTTTAATTCATAGCTAAAATCAAAAAGTCTTGATCAATTTAATGGTGCAATACTGTACTTTAATAAAAGTGTCTTATAACTAATTGAAAAACTAATAATAGCATAATGCAACTCCCTCCCCCATATTAATTTATACATTAAGGTACCATTTAAAATAATACATTGCATTAAAATAATATGGTTGTTCAGCTCTGCCATTTTAGATAATTAATATATGTCAAGAGCAGATGTTTTAACTTAAAGATAAACCACACAGGGGAACTGTAACAGTCATGACAACATTTTTTGCCCAAATTTAGCTGCTAAATATTAAGATACTTTCACAAATGTTGCTATCGATTAAATATAGGGCAAAACATTTTCTTTGGGTGAAAAACAGTTTAATTAATAAAATATGCTGTGCCAGACAAAGTATTTTAACAATTTGACTCTGAAGCTAATGACTTACAAAGCAAGAATTAATTCAAAGACATGAAATTAAAAAATTTGAAAGAAGTACCTCTTTTAAAAAAATATTTACTAGCAAGACAGTTAGTTTGACTTAACTATCCATAAAGAAGTATAATTGTTTTAATATAATGCTGTTTATTGTTCTTTCGTGAAATTTAAAATTTTTCACTATTCAGTCGTTGTACAAAAAAATTTATTTTTCTAAAATTTTAAACATGGTACTTGATATGACATCTATTTGATTTTAATGTAATTCTCCTGAATAAAATTTTTAAACGAGAAAAGTATGATTGATTAATTTATTGCAACTTTTGAATATGCTCCTGATGCTATCTTTAAAATATTTTTAAACATTAAATCGTTTTTTAGTTTAATTTAAAACAATTGTTTTTACAAAACCAATCAGAAAATTCCATTTTTTTAAAAATGTCTCTGTGTAAAAAATATAATTAACAATTCGAAAATCGAGCTTTTTAATTTGTTTATACAATTGTGTGCATTTATCTTCATGTTGAATGTTGCGGCGTATTGTCAGTCCGTAGTGTATGAAAACGCATTTGTTTTACATGATTCAAAAAATCATGATTTTTGACAATTGTCAAAAACAATGTCAAAAGTTTATTTTTTTGACGCGAAGGTTAAAAAAAAATAAAACAGTCAATTGTCAAAAACTTTCCATCTCTGCCTAGGTATGATATTTTTTTTAAAGTGCTTGAAAATATTTTTTGAGTGCTTGAAAGGCGCTTATTTTTTGTTGAATAATTTGGCTACCCCGTATTAAGTCTTGTTCTTGTTTGATTCATTCAGACTAAAATGGAACAGAAAAAATACTATTGTTTTAAATGTATCTCCTCAACTGATGAATAAGACATGCGGCCTATGTGGTAAATTTGATGGCTCAAGTCTGAATGATTTAGAAACGTCTGATGGCAGCTTGACAGATAATGTAGAGGAATTCGTCAACAGTTGGTCGATGGAACTACTTGGAGGTATTAAGACTACTGTAATAATATTTTTAAAAATACTGTAGAAAAAATAAAGTTCTACTACTCATTTTAATTTATGTCATAATCGTCGTGGTACAGCCGATCCAATTTTTGGGTTTACGACTACTATTGTTCAACTCCGTAGCCTTGTAATGTTGAACCCAATGTAGAAGACAAGGGAAATCCTGTATCAAGTATTGGGAGAAATTTGCCTTCCTGGAAGACTTTTTGATGGAAATAACCCGCATTTGTGAGGAAAACCTCCTATGGTTAGCCTAGCTGCAAGGGGAATCTAACCGATGATTTGTCTACCACTGATGATATTTTACATCACCACTGTAGTCCGTGGGAGTATCGACCAGTCATTGCTGGGATTCGAACTCAGTTCACCGCATTGGAAGGCGAACGGTATCGGTCCACGTTAAAGTGTTCGACCTTAAAGTGCTTGACTTCGTGTGCAGGTCGTCAGGCTACCAAAGTAGCAGAGCCATCCCCTCTTCAGAGGATCAAAATTGCGATGGTATGGCTTCGGATCATCCTCACAGATATTTCCCAGTCTGTTGCCAATAGCCCATTGTGCTGCTCTTGGGCGACATAAATAAAGTACCTACCTACCTACCTAACTTAATGTAATTTTGTAAATTTCTCAGTTCTATATTCATATATTGAATTAGTAGGTTACTAAATTTTTTTTAGGGAACTTTATAGGGCTCAAGTTAAAATTATTATTATTTTTTAATTGTGCTCCATGCTTTGATTGTTTCTGCACTGTTAACATTCCTTCATTTCATTACGTGTTTATAATTGAAAAACAATGGATGAGTTCTCTGACTCGGAGCCTGGATTACTCTGAATTTTGTAAAGGGTTGAAATAGTGACTGTAAAGAGCTTCCATTTTTTTCGACCATAAAGTGAAAGTATTCACTACTTACTTTTTTAAAATTTATGATTTATTGTTAAATAAAATGGAAAAACTTTAGGAAAAACTTTTATTTGGATGTTTTCTAATGCTGCACTATCCAATTTTTTTATTGAATTCAAAATTCATAAAAAAATTCAGAATCTGATTGAGGTAATTTAGGCAGAAGGGTCAAACCTTTTCTAGTAAGAATGTTGCCTAAGTTTCTGAACATTAGATTAGCAAATATGTTAGTATTTTTTTTATTTTTTTGAGTTTTTAATCTTTTCTGTAAGCTTTTTTCCTTAATAAAATTATTTGTAACATTGATGAAAGTATTATTATAATCATTTAATAAAGAATTATAAGGTTGTATAAAAACTATGAATAGAATTGTTTGAAATGCAGTCAATTACTTACTTTTAAAAAATTTTTAAGCTTGCCCATTTTGTGATCTGGGAAAAATAATGTTTGTGTGTTTCAGAAAAATGTGAGCAAAGAGCAGCTGTGAGAGATTCGTGTTTACAAGACACTGACAGAATAGAAGATGCTAAAAAAGAATGTCAAGCTATATTTAGTGATAAATATACTTCTTGTCATGCAGTAAGATCATTATTATTAAATAATTTTATTGTTTCTTTATTTTTAAAGAAAAGGTTTATTTTTTTAAATATTCATTCAAACCAATATATGCAATAAAAATCAGATTTATTTATTTATCATTTATTTATTTATTTTGACGAGAGTAATTTGCCAGAGTTTATTTTAGTCAATAAATAAGTGTACAATGCTCAGGGAATTATAATTTTTCATTATCAGCACACAATGAAACTGTTTTTCTAAAAGAAAATGGTTTATTTTTTGGTTTTTAGATGTAGCTATTTAGATAGTATCTTCAACTACCACTATAAGTTGTAGTTGGAGAGAGTAGTGGTAGTTGCTTCTATCACTATCCTTCATCACCATTTTTCCACATTGTAAACAAGTATCGGTACCAAATGTTTGTGTCTTGCCACTGAAAATGCTACTTGTTCACAAAGTAAAAAAGCCATGAACTATTTTTATTTATGGGTCCTCTGTATCATTTTCTTGCATTAATTTTTGTTTGATTATTTTAAACAGAGCTCCCACTGGTCAAGGAAAAACAGGGAATACCTGGAATTGTCAGGGAACTTTATTTTAACTCCAAAAATCAGGGAATAGTCAGGGAAAGTTGCTATTTTTTGACAAAAACCTGGAATATTCCTATATCATACCTGGAAAATAACCAGTCTTAAAATTGTCAGTAACAGTAATCAGTTTGTGAGATTCAAGTTAAATAACTCTTACATCTTTTACAATTATTTTTTATAAAAATTTCACATTTTAGTCAAACTAAAATGTTCCTATCCTCATTCAATATTTTTTTGCACATAAAATCTAATATTTCACAAAACAAATAAAAGAATCAAAGTTTTCTGACGAAAATATGGTCTCACTTTTAATTGAAATTTACCTGGTATACCTGGAAAAGTCAGGGAATTTTTTTTCGAAAATTAGTGGAAACCATGTTTAAAATATAGGAATGTTCTTATTTTTTGTACAGTACAGAACCCGTTATCCGGAAATCAGAAAACCAAAAAACCGGAACGAAATTCGATAAATTTTCGCGCCATTTTTCCTCATAAGATTTTAGGATTTTTTTTCTTTTTTGAAAGATGTTTACCTTACCATCATTTTGGAAATAATCATTAGTGTATTCCTTCATCATTTTTTCTTCTTTTTAAGATTATTTCCAAAAAAATTTTTTTTGTTAAACAATAAACAAACGGCTTTTTGTAGCGATTCAGAAAACCGGAAAAATCAGTTATCCGGAATAGCGATGGTCCCGATTGTTCCGGATAATCGGTTCCCTACTGTATTAAATATTAGCTCTTAAACTTTACATAGCTTTGAATTATTATTTTTATATATTTTTTGCTCTAAATTATTGAAAAAGAGTAAATAAAACCTTCATGTATGCTATTATTTTACAAATCACCTCCTGAGAATATTTTGAATTATTTTATAGATAGTTGATCCAAAACCGTACTTCAAAACGTGTAAAGCCGATTATTGCAAATGTGATGGGTGCCAGTGTAGTACATTTGCTGAATACTTTCGAGAATGTTCTAGACTGGGAGGAAAAGTTGAAGGAGGCTGGAGAAGTGATCAGCTGTGTCGTAAGTTTTTCAAGTTTTTACAATAAAAAATTGGTTGATCTTTACTCATTAATGCGATTAAAATGAAGAAAGAAAGGTTTAATGATGATTCAGCACATTTTTTTAAATGTAGTTTTCAGTTTTTTCCTTATTTTTCACATGGTGCGTAGCGTTTGTAAAAAGTGCTTAAAGGTGCTTATTTTCTATTTTTGTTTTTTAAAAGCCCTTAAAGGTGCTTTTTTCATCTGGGGTTTTTAAAAAGTGCTTAATTTTCCCTTTTCGAAAATGAGATTTTTTTCTTTACCATGTTGATTTTCGCCACGTATTATGCAAAAGTGTGCTTTTTAGATTGTTCTATTCAATGTTTTCACAGTTCATTCAACCACAATCTATTTTGGCGTACTGTCGGTCCATAACGTATGAAAGCGCTAATCATTTTACATGTATGATAAAATTCTGGCCAGTTCGCATGCGCTTCTACTGAGCAGGTTTCGGTGAGATTATTGCACTCTAATGCTCAACTCTGCTGCATTTTGCAAGATATTCTCAATTTCTAGCTTCATTTTCCACCCTCTGATATCGAACCGAAAAATCTCTCGATCATTTTATAATGGCTAATATAATCAAGAAAGGAGTTCTTTAACAGAAACTAGTTATTTTATCATCATGTAATGTCTTTGAAAATTATTTTGCATTTTGTTATTGTGTATAGTGCTTAAAAATATTTTTTGAGTGCTTGAAAAGTACTTGTTTTTTTGTTCAGAGATTTGGCTACTCATCCTGTTTCACTATGTTGTTGGGGTAAGTGGGTCATGCATCAATTAGTTTATGTTTGCTATTAGTTAGATATTTAAATGGCAACACTTTATTTACGTATAAACATATTATACAAATACGACCTTGATAGTCGACTATTTTGATCGGATCCCACACTATCTCCGGCGGCGTTGCTTGCATAATCTCGTTTATCTTTATTAAACATAACTGTCTGCCATCTATTGGTACAAAATGCTATTAATTACTTTTTCATGCTTGACATTTTCACCTTTCAAGCCTGAAAATTACAAAGAAACATATTATTCAAAGTAAACAATTACAAAACTAGTTCATCGGGAGGTTTTTGAATTCGATGCAATCAACCTGGCATGAATTTTTTTTTTAACAGTCTTTGTAGGGGTGCTAAAGCTCGCACCGGTTAAATCATCATGAATAGGGATTTTGTTCCTGCTGGAACAGGGTTGCCACTCCACACGGAAAACCTGAAAAATACTACAGGGAATTTAAAAGTCATCTAAAATAGCGGGGGAAATGTAGGAAAATGTGAATTTTTCTTTAGAAACTGGCTAAAGACAGGGAGTTTTATTTCCTATTTTTGTCTTTTAAAAAATACTGACCCCTGAAAGTGTAATCTGTGGGATACCCCATACTTATAATGATTTTTTTTCCTTTTTAGTTTATACTAGGGTTGCCAATCCATAGGGAGTACAGGGAAAACCTGAAAAATACAAGGAATTTAAAAATCACGAAAATTAACGGGGAATTTTGAGGTTTTCTTTACAAACTGGGAAAATACAGGGAAATTGTTTTCTATTTTCGTCTTTTAAGAAATGGTGAACTCTCAAAGTGTAATCTTTGGGATATTTAAGGAAGATATTTCTGCTATACTAAACCATTTAATTTACTATAGCATTATTTAAGTATGTTCAGATGTTCCTTTTTTACTCTAAGTTTTTACAGCAATTAAAACTTGTATAGTTATCCCAATATGGCTCATACAGGAGCACAGTTATTCTTTTTTCTTTATATTTTACAGGGAACTTTTTTTCTCCAAATTTGAGTGGCAACTCTGTTTTATACTTACCTTGAGTTTAGATACCAAATAAAAGTTGCAAAATTTATAATTAAGGCGTGGTACAAATTAATTGGTGGTATAATAAAATAGAAATCATACCTAATGGTTTTTTAAATGTTATGGCTACCTAAAATAATTGAATATGGCTATTAATGGTATGATTAATGAAAAAACAAAACAATATTTAATTCTTATATGTTAAAATCAATCACAATGCATTTAACTTCTATTAATGTTTAAAAAAATTAGGACATACCATTTTAAAAGTGTACCAACTTGAACTTTTCAGTTCTTTCATAAAATATATTCCCTACAGCATTGTCATGCCCAAATGGAATGGTTTATAATGATTGTGGTACGTCTTGTCCGAAAACTTGCAAAGGAACTGTCTATGATTGTGAAGATGAGCATTGTATAGATGGCTGCCATTGTCCCACCAATATGTTGTTTCACAAAGGAGAGTGTATCGAAAAGACCGATTGTCCCTGCCTCCATAACGATAAGGAACAGCAACCAGGATCCAAAGTGTTACAAGAATGCAATGCATGGTACAGTCAGGGATTTTTTTAAAAACATTTTAAATTTTGGACTAGTTTAATATGTATAGACAGGGTATCCGCACACCTGGAAAGTCATGAAAAATCATGGGATGTCATTAATTTTGGTTTTGAACAAAATTTGTCATGATTTTAACTATTTTTTTAAGAAAATCATGGACAGTCATGGATATAGGTCACTGAAAAATCTAATTTTTAAAATGGAATTTAAAAATACTCCCCCCCACACATTTCATGGTGTTCCGAATATCTGAATTTGTGATAAAATCCCCACTCACAGTCATATTTTATTAAAATATAAAATGTTTTTATCATGTTCCTTAAAAGTTACGGTGTTCTTTCAAAAAATGAAAGAAAAAACATCATTACTAGAGCGAATTATCTTTTAAACTTCTGTGATTTCAGAATTTTTGTTATTATTATTATTATTTTCTTTATCAATTTAAAATACTAGCTGAAGCAAGCCAGTCATTGGCGAATTTTTTTTATTCCGAAATGAGAACATAAAAATCAGGAGTATTTCTTTCCTTTCGGATAAACAAGATAATTATAGCAGAGAAAAATTATTTGCTTTTGTATTTTTTTCAGCTATTTTATTGCTTTAGCTCTTTCTTTACTCTGTTTTTTAAAATTTGAAATCTTTAAATTTAAAGTAGCAGAGTATAACAGTTTTGGTTATACCTATAATTTCAATTTATGTTATTATAATGCTTTTTTAAATTTCTTATGTTTTTGTTAGAGAAAATAGTAACTTCGTTAAGTCCTGAAAAATTCTAGGAATTAGTCATGAAAATTCATGAATTTGAAAATCTAAAATGTAGCAGATACCCTGTATAGAACAATTTTAATTAGCTTATTTGTAGAATGGAAATATAAAATATCCGTAGAATTTTAATTTTTTGTTTGTTTGTTAGGATACTTGCACACCTATAAAAAATGCTTTAAAAAAATATCGTACAAGAAATGTCTGCAGTATGTTATGTTGGCCAAGTTAAAACAGGTGGTATTAACCGTTCCTTGCAGTGGTGCAATCTATGTGTGAACGTTCATCCACATAACGAAAATCCAAATTTTCATTCAGTTATTTTATACTGTAATATTTAGAAGTAAAAAAGTTACTTTTAACTTAAAGAATGTGCAAATTTAATCTTTATTATTGTTTTGCTTATTGCGCTATGTCTTGGCCAGCAAAAAGGCTCAAGCTTTTTGAATTATGAGACTAGCTGATCTGCATAAAGGCATTAATAATATTTATATGCATGTATGTATAATAATATATGTATGTATAATTAAAATATTATGTATGTATAATTACAGTGAATGCAGAGGAGGCCAATGGGAATGCACCACAGAAACATGTGATGCCAGATGTTCATCAACTGGTGATCCCCATTATACTACATTTGATGGATTGAGCTATGAACATCTTGGAAGCTGTGCATACTACTTGATATTTCATGAAAATTTCACCATCATTCAAGATAACGGGCCGTGCGATCAACTCGATTCCACAAAGTTTTGCACTCAGGGCATTAGAATCGAAAGCGCTGAGGGTACCTTGCTGCTCCAGCCAGGAATAAAGGTAACCTATTTTTAATTGCTTTATTTCTCTAATGAACAATGTATTTTTTGAATTCAATTTCAGTGTGAGTAAAAAATTGTGCAATGTTCAATATTGAAAAGCTTTGACTAAAAATATGATGTTTAAAAAAATAGCTCATTTTTAGGTTTCAGGGCATACATTATGTTGAGCAGTACGTATAACGCATAACGGTGTGAGCGGTGGTTGCTCAGGAGATAAAGCGCTCTCTTCTATATTGAGGTCACCCAATTTCGAATCCGAGCTAAGGTTGGTTGATAAGAATTTTGCTCGTACCCATTATAGTGTAGATGGGAAATATCATTAGTAGTGAACGGATCATGGGTTGAAATCCCTTGCTGTCAGACTAACCATGGAAGGTTTTCCTATTTTTTTCTCTCTGTGTAAAACAAATACAGGTTGGTTCCAGTTAAAATTCTTCCACAAAGGCTAGTTTGTCCGATGTCTGGGTTCAAGAGTTACCTTGTTTTCTGGGTCAGGCTCAAAGTTGTATGACTACAGTGTTGAGCATTGATAGTTGTATACCCAAAAATGGGTTGACTAATTGACGCTGGTTGTAATATAAAATGTGATACGGTGCAAAAGATGGCTGTTTATCTAGATGCTGATGAACCAAATTGTCTAATTAACTGAATTAGTCAAATTCCAGTCTTCCCTAAAAAAAAATTTTCTTTGTAAAAATTCCTCTTTATTTTCTGATTTCTTAAAGGAGGTCAAAAAAGTATTATTTTATCCTTTGGAACGAGATTAATAGAAAAACATAATAAGGAATTGCTTTATTGGTCTTTTTGAACCTTTTAGTAATTAATGATTTTTTTATAATGCTGAGTACAATGACATGATTATGATGACTAATAAGTTTTTTTTCTTCTTTTAGGTTACTTTTAATGAAAAAGAAAATGAACTTCCATTGATCAGACCAGGCATCAGTGTAACAATGGCGACTGATTTATTTCTCAAGGTATTGTTTTCTTAATCTTTGTACATTAGCTGTTAGTTTTTCTTAAGTAATTAATTCAACTGGACTTTTATTTATTTTTAAAGGTAACTTTGCTAAACACTGTGTCTTTGCTGTGGGATGGTCATAATCGAATCTATATCGATGCTTCGCCATCACTGTTTGACCAGACAATGGGTCTGTGTGGCACCTTCAATAAAAATCAAAATGATGATTTTTTGACCCCAGAAGGAGATGTGGAAGCAGACATTGAAGCTTTTACCGCCAGGTGGCAGGCCTCAGACTCTTGTAGCAAGAGGGGGCGGCGTTCACAAAGAAGTGCTTGTGAATTACAGCCTCAAAAAATCGCAGATGTAGAGTTTCTTTGTTCTGTTTTGAATAGTCATACTTTCCAAGGTGAGTGATTCCATCCTAGGTTGTTCCATCATACTTTTGAGGCTGTAATTCGCAAGGACTTTCACAAAGAAGTCCTTGTGAATTACAGCCTCAAAAAATCGCAGATGTAAAATTGGTAGCTGAACGAAATCTGTTTCAAAAACTGTGTACCAAAATTTCATGAATATCGGATAGAAATATAATGGAATTGTGATTCCACAATAGGCGTTACATATTTCCTAGCTTTTTAAATTTCTCTAACTACTTAAATTTATTATTTTAATTAATCAAATTATAATTAGATTGAATTAATTTGTATAAAAAGTGAATATAAAATGTTTTATTCTTTTTTTAACAACCAACTACAGTTAACTTTCTATTTCACTACTAATGTAGACTCATTAATCCAGTGTTGCGCCTTATCAGAAACAAAAATTTATTTTATAACTCTTTATTCTTAATTTCTTAGTACAAATATGTTACATGGTTATACTAATTCTCACAGTCATGTTGGGGATTCACGATCGCCAAAGTATTTCTTAAACCTAACATGGATTATGGGGGACTGGCTTTATTTTTGGCTATGTTATCTTTCGATAATTCGCCAACCTTGGATCTTTTCTCTGCTCCTAATTGTCCGTTGGGAACAATTCAATCACTTTTTTAATCTGACTTTTGATGAGTCAGGTCATGGGGATTTATCTCCCATGGCCTGTCTTTATTGATATTATTATGGAAAATTTATTTAAATTAGAAAGTCTTATGGTGTAAGATAAAATTATAATTTGTATCTCAAGCTCTACAAATACTACTAAATAAAAGTTTTATTATAATTATCATTCAGTTTTCTTCTTCAACTGTCATTTTCATTATCCTGTTTTCATCACGATCTTCAATTAGTCAATTATACCATACAACTTCAAACCACACCTGATTCTGTTATTATAGGATTGATAGCTAGATTTTAATAACAAAAAAATCATTACTAGATCAGCCATCATTTCTCTACCACTTAGCCTCCTAGATTGCCCAACTCAAACCATTGTAGTTTTCGATTCTAGTGTAACCTCGGAGGCTTGGTCTACTATGATCCATAGCTTCCAATTCTTCTGCATTTTGAAATTTAAAATTGTGCACTTTTTTTATTATCTTAGAGCACATGCATGTCTAAGGATAGGCTTTCTTGCTTTGCTCAGACAGGGTTGCCATTATACAGGGAGAATAGGGAAAACTTGGAAAATACAGGGAATTTAAAAACTATCTAAAATAACAGGGAAAATGCAGAAAACTTTGAGTTTTTCCTTACAAACTGGGAAAATACAGAGAATTTCATTTCTTATTTTCGTCATTTAAAAAGTGGTGACCACTCAAAGTGCATTCTATGGGATATTTAAGATGATATTTTTGCTATACTAAACTATTTCATTTACTATAGCATTATTTGTTTTGAGTATGTTGAGCTGTTCCTTATTTCTTTAAGTTGTTCCAGCAATTAAAACTAGTATAGTTAGCCCAATATAGCTGATACATGAGTACAGTAATTGTGTTTTCTCTTAATATATTGTGCATAATATGTACAGGGAAAACACAGGGATTTCCCCCCCCCAGATTTGAGTGGCAACCCTGTCAGAGAATATCTTAAATTTTTGCTGTGCTTCAGCCTGACCAATGTTGTAGAATATGAGATGTTAAGCACCTGATAGTACAAAAAAATATTCACAGTTTTCTTCTATTTCAGATTTATTTAACTGATAACGTTTAAATACTCAATTTCACTTGTGAACTATACCATTAACTATAGTATTCATTCTTCGCATAAGGGACAGAAATTGGAAACATGCAAAAATATACTACATTTTAAGTCATTTCGTCTGCAATTTTATAGTTTATCTTCTTCATTTTAAATGATGAAGGTTGTCAGTTATATTGATCCCATCACATCTATTGCCAGACTTATGTAATATAATCACATAACATTTCCAGACAAGCATTAGGTTCAACGAATGAATATTATATTTCACACTTTCAGAATCTAGCAGGCAAAACTAAACATCACTTGTAAGCAGGATTTTGTAAACTTTGAATATTATTGATTGTTATTCATATATGTTTTCTATAAAATAACTAAAAACTATTTTTTTTTGCTATTTAAAATTCTCTTAATTTCATTTAGCAATTGACTAATTTTCCTAAAACTCTGTTGCCTTAATTTTTTTATACCATACTCATAACTTCCATCTTTAATTATTTAACTCTGTGCGTTAAGAATTCATGTCAATAAAACTTGCTTGTTAGTCACTTCTGCTTTTGAAATGATTTTATGCCAGTTCATAGCTACCAGCTCTACTGGATTTTTCTGTAGACCAATGGATTTTGCCAGTTTCTCCTGTTCTATTGGTTTAATTAAAATTCTCCTAGTTTTTGTACATTTTTGAAAATTCCCTAAAATGATAGTTTCCTGAAAAAATTCCTATTGAAATAAAATTTTTACACAGATTATTTCTTGCTTGAATATTCTAATAAATGTTACTAATACACAATGAAGCGTGCCTCATTTATAAAAATCAGTTTAAAGCTTTTTTTAAATCTACAATGTTGAGTTTATTTTTAAACTCCCTTTTTAAATTGATTAAAAAATATTTTTACAATCTTTGATGAATTAAACGCTTATTACTATTAAAAATTATTAGCAACAATAATACATAATGTTTCAAGTTCATTTAATGTTAATCATAACTGAAAAATATTGCAGTTTTTTCTATTTTGAAGACTATAAAAATTTATAAAATTCTATAGATTCTAAAATTCTAATTTATGTATAAAATATAGTACATTTCACAACAATTATCATGAAATCTATATTATTTCGTAAAATCTATTGGATTTTTCCCTATCCATGTTGGCAGCTATGTCAGTCTTATAAATAATTATAAATTCCTCAAGCATATAAGTAATTAGTGATAAGTACATTCTAAACAACTAAAAGCAATGGTCACAAATTTTAATTACAAAGATATTAGAAAAGTGATCTCTACAATATTTATATGCTTCATGAATTTTCTTTTAGGTTGTCATGGTGATGTTGATCCCTATCCATTTTTCAGAGGATGTATCAATGACTTGTGCATGTGTGGTGAAAAGTTGGAGACTTGTCTCTGCCCTATAATCTCTGATTATAGCATGGCATGTTCAAAGAAAGGTGTCATAATTAACTGGATAGATGAACTGCCTGTTTGTAGTAAGTTTATCGCAATTTAAATTATTAAATTTATTTGTTTTAATTAAAAATCTAGCTTTGCCTTTGAGAAACGAGATGCTGTAACTTAAATTAATAAAGACTGTCTTACAATTGAAAATATTTCAAAAGCAAGTTAGACTTGAATTGAAATTTACTTATGAAGTGGGAAATTATCTTCATTCATTACAAACTTTGTCTTCCAAAAAAAGTTGACTTGTATTTAACAATATTTTTGTTTGTCTCTGATTTTGATTATCCCAGAGTTTGTCTTTTAAATTTCTTTGAGTTTTTAAGAGCAATTAGAGGTTTACTTGATCAAACTGAGTTAAAGGCTTAAAATGTGTAACATATGTAATGTGCTAAACTGAGTGTTCTACAATAGAATTTTTATCAGGAAATGAAGCCATCGCATATTTCAAAAAGGAAAAAAAAAACTCTTTTGTTCTTAGAATTCATCGTATTTTAATTTTAGAAGATTACCGATAATTGGAATCGCTATAATGTAGAGTCAGATTTGTTTTTTCATTTCTAAATATGTTTTTTCATTTTTCTTTTCTAAAAAAAAAGGTTTTATAAATTTTTTTTTTCATTTTTCTTTTTCATTGTTTTTTCATTTTTCTTTGTTTTTTCATTTTTCTTTTCTTAAAAAAAAAGGTTTTATAAGTTTTTTTTATATAATCAATTATAATATCAATTTTAAAATGTTCACAAATAGAGAAATCAAAGAACTCCCTCTCTTTGTTGTTGATAGTCACATTATCTATTATTTTATAAAATAAAAAAAAAACTGCATGAATTGATTCGTTGGGATCAGTGAGACTAAGTTTGTTAGTTTATTCTAAAATCTGAGTTCAATTTTTGTAGATATGTGCTGCTTGATGCACATCAGTTTTGGTAAATATTTAATTTAATTTTTATTCAAGCTCTGCTAAAACTTCAAATTTTAGGAAATAATTTTGACACAATTTGTTACATGCTATATATTTTTGAAAAATATTATGGTATGTTGCAAAAGGGGAATGGGAAAAACATGTGTTTTTCTAAAAGCTGTCTTTTGAATATTAAAAGTTTTAATTGTTTTTTCAAAATTCACAGGTACAGAGGTTTGGTTATACACAGAAACATATTTTTGGGCTATAATTTTAGGCAATTAGACCATTTAGACTTTTGAACACATAAATTTTAATTGTGTAAATGAATAGTTTCCTGTTCAAATAAATACTATAGTTTGTACTGAATTTAACTACTGTAGAAAATGAACCATAATTAGGGAAACGAATTAAATTTATTTTGATTCCTTTATTTTATTCTAATGAAACTATGGAAAGCAAGATAAGGCTAAAAAAAGTAAAAAAGAGGACAAATAATGTCACATGAACAAGAATATGATCATTTTGGTAGTATAGTAACCACCACTAATTAAATCAGCAGCTCTTTAAAATCAAATCTGTAAGAACTAAATCATTACAATATTTTAAAACTTGCTAAGACCATCTTTTAATAAAATCATGGAGGTTATTTTGTTAAATCAGATTTTTGTTAGTCATTTTTTTTTTTTTATAAAAATGAAAAATAAAAAAATACAAAACTACTTTTCTTGTCTGAATATTATAGAATTTACTATTTCCTCAAGGTTTGAAAGTTGCATAGCACATAAATTACAAATTTCATTGTAACTCCTGTGAACTAAAAGGACAAAGTTACACTTAGGGAAAAATGAGAGTGTAAAAAATCGAGTGTAAAGGATTTCAGCTGAAAACTGTTTATGAATAGAGAAAGGTTATAGAATGGTCATTTAATGTCAATAATCATCAGCCAACCAATAATTTAAATCTGTATTTAATAGATGTCTGAAAAGTGCTTGATATTTTAAAATTGACTTTACTTCAAAGAAAAAGAATTGTTGCTAGTTGCAAAAGCTTTCATAAATTTTTAAACCATGAATCATTCATTTCATATTTTGCTAATCAGGAAAGTACGCTTATTTTAAAAACCCTACCGTCAATTAAAAATTGTAGCTCAGACTTAATTTAGCAAAAATAAAATAAAAATTTTGCAATCAGTTTAACATTTAGTGTGTTTGTAAAGTTTATATTTGAAGTTTTTTTCTTCTTCAGCATAAATATACATAAAGTGTTTATAAAATCAACCATTCTATGATATCAAAATACTCTCAGATCAAACGGGATTTTAGTGAAGGCACTGTTTAGTGAAGAATGAACAAGAAAACATAGTTTCTTAGGTGTGTCAATATACTTCCAAAATGATCATATGCTTGTCTATATAACATTATTTAATTCCCTTTTCACATCACTCATATCTAAAACAAATGAACATTTTCCTAATATAGAACTCTTTTTTTTTCCCTTCTTTTTTTTAAGGTTTAAAAGAAGCATTTTTGGTAATATATATACATAATTTTAGTAAGCAATGTTTATTTTACTCTCAAAGAGGTGGAATGCCCCAGCGGACAAGAGTACACAGAATGCGGTAATCCGTGCACATCTACATGCTCAGCAATAGCCTCAGGGGATGATCAGTGCAAGGCAGAATGCGTTCAAGGATGTGCCTGCACAGGAGGAAAGAGTCTGAACAATGAGGGTGTCTGTGTTGCTCAATGCCCTTGCTTTCACAATGAGAAAGAATATATGCCCTCAGAAATCACAATCCAAGGCTCTAAGACATGGTAAATTCTCTTAAAATAGTTCTTTTTTTACCACTTACGCTTAAACATAGTTGCCAACTCTACTGGATTTCGCCAGTTTCTCCTATTCTACTGGTTTAAAAAAATTTCTCCTGTTTTTGTGCATTCTTGAGAATTCCCTAAAATTGAATAAATCCCCCCCCCCTTCCAAAAAAAAAACCCTATTCAAAAATTTTTTTCACACGTTTTATTGCTTATTTAAATCTTTGAATAAGTATTACTAATAAATCATAATCAGTTTAAAGCTTCTTTTTTTTTGTTTCTAAAATTTTTGGCTTATTTTTATTCAGAACTTCCTTTTTTAATTAAGTAAATCTTTAATGAATTAAATAAGAATGAATTATTACTATTAAAAATTATGAATCATACATGGACCATTTTCCAAACCATTTCTTTTTTTTTAGTGTAATAAAGTTATAGCATTTTAATGACTTTAAAAATCAGTAAAATTCCCTGTGTGTAGAATATTTGGTATATTATGCAATAGTTATTATCAAAGTTATTTCAGAAAATCGACTGGATTTTTACTGATCCATGTTGGTAGCTATGCTTAAAGAAATAAAATATGAGGGCCATATATGTGTAATCAGAACTCATTTATTAAATTAACTTTTCAAAAAAAGGTTAAAAATACTTTAAGGCTGATATTTATAATAACATCAAAATGCTCACTTCTAAACGAAGTTTGGAAACTACATACAAATCAGCAAGCAGTGATAAACCAAAAAGTCTCTCGCATGTTTTTCACAAACGAGGAATTCTTCAATTTATTCTACTGTCATATTGTAACCAAACTTGATTGATAAATTTGCATTTAGAACAAAAATAAAATATGGGTGTGTATTTCCTAATTATAGCTGAATTGTTGATTTCAAAATTGAATTTAAAATACTTTTATTTGTTTAAAAAAATTCAATCGAATTCTATAATTTTTATCTGGTGTGGTTGCATTAAAGATTCTAAAGGGTTAGGTGAAAAAGGAATCTAATCTTATGAGTTATTCCGAACCTTGGCATATTTTGTTAAAAAGAATGAGTTTTGTTTGTGGATTATTAAAAAAAATACATGTTCCTTTTCCCCATTCAATAGTTCTATAAAATAGGGACCGAGGCAAATTCCTAGGGACCAAGGCATTCGCTATGCAATAAAGAAAATTCGTTTTACCGATTTTACGAATTTCAACATTAACCAGAATTATTTTGTTACATTGGAATTTTTCGCATAAAAAATTATGAATATTGCATTTAATTACAGTTTTGATCTATTTGTACTCTACATGAGGAAAATATCAAATCAATGTTTTAAAATCTCACAAAAGCAATTAAATTAAAAGGAACAATAGATTTACTATCACTCACCTATTAAAAATTACATAATCTGTAATTTTTTTCTGTACAAATGATTCAGAACAAGTATAAATTACAAACTTTTCCCAATTATGCACATTTTCAAACAACTGAACTTGAAATCACTGGAATCACTTGGAAGGCCACATGTATTTTAACTTCTTCAAACATGAATGGGTTGGGGTTTAGTCTTTTCAGGGTGGTCCCTTCCAAGTGATTCGTCTTTTTCGACATGTCCCTTTCATATCTGAAACTATTTATTTTGAAGATGTAAAAAAATGTGAATTGTGAGATCATTGTGTACTTTTGAAGAATGGAAAAGTGTTTTGGTCGTGAGAGAAAATGAGAATTGTTGCTTATTTTCAACTTCGTTAAATTGGATTACGAATTTCGTAGTATCAGTACTTTTAAGTCATTGTTTCTATGGAGATTCATTCTGGGATTCGTAAAATATTGGTTACATTGAAATTTTCCCTATTTCGGATTTTGCTAAAATGGGATTTGACTGTACTGAATTATATAGAAGAAGAGAGGGATTCCCTCACCATGGATAAAAAATTTTTTTTTTTCAATCACAAACAATGTGTTGATTAATTTTAAATTACGCCATTTCAGATTCTAATTTTACTTGTTACATTTATCATCATAGTTGACCAGACAGCCCAATGTAGGCCAATGCCTCCTCTGAAGATTTCTCCATAATGACTTCCGTTTTATCTCTGATCTCAAATTCTTTTTATTAATTGCAAGAAAATCAAACTCCACTGAATCAGCCCATCTCAACCGCGTCCTTCTCCGCTTTCTTGTTCCAGTGGGGTTAGAAAGCAGCATCTTTTTTATTGTATGGTCATCACCCATTCGAATTACATGGGCCATCCAATTCATTCTATTTATTTTTAAGTATTTAATAATATCGGGTTGTTTAGAAATCTTGTACAGTTCAAAGTTAAATCTCCTTCTCCAGTTATTGTTTTCATTTGCACCAAGTATACTCCGCAAAATCTTTCTCTCAAATATTACGGAACGATTTCCCTCCAGTTTTGTGATTGTCCGAGCCTCAGAAGTATATGTCAAAACTGGCTTGACAAGAGTTTCGTAGATTACGAACTTTGTTTTCCTAGAAAGAAGCCTAGATTAAATAAATCTTCTCAGCCCATAGACAGCCCTATTTGCCAGATCGAGTTACGTCATCAAACTATACAAATATTGCACAGGGATGCAGGATTATTTTGTCTGATGCAACATCTAACAAAATTTAATTTTTTTCCAGCTATCTAATATGTGTCATTTTCAATAAGTCAACTGCAATGCCAATTAATTGTAATAAATTTAAAATTTTTTTCATTTGTAGTGAATGTGTAAATGGCAGGTGGCATTGTCGATTAGCTACTTTTGAAGAATTAGTGACTCCAGATGCAAATAAATGTCTTGATGAAAACAATGAAGAGTTTACTGATTGTGTGGATGCCTGTCCTCAAACGTGCCAAAACAAGCATTTACTTCATATATGTAAAACAGAGGAATGCTCTCCCGGTTGCAGGTATCTATCAAACATATAAATTTGACGCAATGAAATTGAATGAAATACAGGTACTGTGTAGAACAGAGGAGATAATTTATTTTGATCCATTTAAATGAAATTCATTTCTCTGGTCTTCTAGAAGTACATTTTATTAAGTTTTTTTAATATTCCAGGAAAATAAACAATCAGTTACAAACTTTATTCATAAAAATCAAAGACATAAAATATTTTAAATAACTACTTTAATAATCAAATTAAATGTTTACTGTGGATTTAACTATTTTTATTTCTTTTAATGTAAATATAGTTTTTGAAACTTGGTTGCCAGTAGACGATCTTACTAAAGAAATTTTTAAACTTTCTTTTATTATTTCATAAGAAAGCCACGGAAATTTACCTATGTTTGCTTGTGGAGAGGGCATGAAGTGGGAACTGAATCGCAAAGAGTGTGACATCACAAAGAAAGTAGTGAGATGGTTGTTTAGGGGAAAATTATTAGTCTCTTTTATGATGCAGGTATGGTCTTGAATATAAACGCTGCTCTAGTTTTACATAAGAAAAATTTGTTACAGTTTCTAGTTATTTTTCATTTCTACTTGTACAATTTAAATAATTTTATAAACATTTTTGTCTTAAAAAGAAATTAGTTTTTTTAGGCCAATACAACAATACAGAAAGACAATGTGTTTCTAATAAATCAATAACTCTGGCATGTGTGCCATAGGATAGTGACATCAATTATATTGTAAATAAAATATGCTGATACAAACTTTAAAAAAAAATCAGTACAAAATTGTTAGTGTTTTTTCAATGCATGTTCAAAGATTAATCAATAACTAAACATTTAATTTTCTTTCTATTAAATGAATTCTTTAGGAGTTTAAATGACCATTTAATTCATCTGAAATATCCTACTACTAAAAAGACTACCCCTCTAAATTTAAGCGAAAACAAATGAATTTCAAACGTTTTTTGTGTTATTTCAGGTGTAAGGAAGGATTTATCCTGGATTCTGATTCGAAGAAATGTGTAGAAGTTAGCCAGTGCCATTGCATACATGCCAATAAAAAATATCAAGAAGGTGACATTATTCACCAAGATTGCAACTTATGGTATGTTATGTATTAATTATAGTTTATATATATGTAATAAATACTCTTTAACTAAATGCATGTATCATACAACAAAATATTTTACTTAAGATAGGATTAGCACCCATAATAAAAAGGGTCTTAAAATTCTTAAACGATTTGAATTTTGTACCATTTGTGCAGCAAAATGTTACTAATGAAAAGACTGAAAGACAACTGTCAGTTCATTAAAAACAAAATGCTGCATAAAAGGAGAACACATTTTCTTATTTTGAGCAACGTCGAGCTAATATCTTGTTAGGTAGTTTCCCATTTTGTTGAGAATTGGTTACCTAGCCAGGTCATACAGTTAAATGCTATAGGAACTTTTAAAGAAAAATGTTAAGTTTAAAAAAGAACACATTTTCTTATTTTGAGCAACACATTTTCTTATTTTGAGCAACGTCGAGCTAATATCTTGTTAGGTAGTTTCCCATTTTGTTGAGAATTGGTTACNTTATGGGTTTTGCAGAGAATGGAGATGGCGCATAATAAATTCTCAAAAAATTCACGAGTGATATACAAGTTCATGTCCAACTTTTGGGAGGTAGTGCTTTTCAATTAATCAAAAACTTTTTTTCCCCCACTCAACCCTAATTACCATCACCCTATTATTCTATACAGGTGATAAGATGTGAAGTAATTAATTAGGAAACAAATTTAATATGAGATTAGTTAAAATCGTCACTTAACATAGATTTTTCAGCATGGATAAGTTTGCTCATCCTATTACAAATTGCTTTATGCTTTTTAATTTGTTCCCATCAACCTTACTGTTGAAATGGAATTCAGTCGGAATATAGATATGACATATTTCCATTCAAAAATGGATCACAAAAATTTAAAATGCAAAAGATGTTCTCCACAAGCAAACATAGGTAAATTTCCAAGGCTTTTTTATGAAATGATAAAAGAAAGTATAAAAATTTATTTAGTAATCTCGTCTATTGGCAACCAAGTTTCAAAACCTATATTTACATTAAAAGAAATAAAAACAGTTAAATCCATAGTTGCTGTTGACGTATGCTAGGCAGAGGAGGTGCGATTGTTCTTGTTTTCCAGTAGCGCCATCTATGGCCAAGAATTCGACTTCTGCCACACCATACGTCACACGGGTGGACCCATTCATTCATCCACAGATCGTAATATTGACCTGAATTAGAGAACGATCGATCTCCAAATCAATACCTCTGGGGGTACTGGATTGGAGATCGATCGTTCTCTAATTCAGGTCAATATTACGATCTGTGGATGAATGAATGGGTCCACCCGTGTGACGTATGGTGTGGCAGAAGTCGAATTCTTGGCCATAGATGGCGCCACTGAAAAACAAGAACAATCGCACCTCCTCTGCCTAGCATACGTCAACAGCAACTATGGATTTAACTGTTTTTATTTCTTTTAATGTAAATATAGGTTTTGAAACTTGGTTGCCAATAGACGAGATTACTAAATAAATTTTTATACTTTCTTTTATCATTTCATAAAAAAGCCTTGGAAATTTACCTATGTTTGCTTGTGGAGAACATCTTTTGCATTTTAAATTTTTGTGATCCATTTTTGAATGGAAATATGTCATATCTATATTCCGACTGAATTCCATTTCAACAGTAAGGTTGATGGGAACAAATTAAAAAGCATAAAGCAATTTGTAATAGGATGAGCAAACTTATCCATGCTGAAAAATCTATGTTAAGTGACGATTTTAACTAATCTCATATTAAATTTGTTTCCTAATTAATTACTTCACATCTTATCACCTGTATAGAATAATAGGGTGATGGTAATTAGGGTTGAGTGGGGGAAAAAAAGTTTTTGATTAATTGAAAAGCACTACCTCCCAAAAGTTGGACATGAACTTGTATATCACTCGTGAATTTTTTGAGAATTTATTATGCGCCATCTCCATTCTCTGCAAAACCCATAAAAAACGACCATTTTTTAAAAAAAAAAAAAACAATTTTCAAATTTTTAAAAATTGCCATATAAAAATAAATTACCACTCAAAAGCTGTATGTTGAATGAAATATTGCTTGTGAATTTTCTCAGAATTTTTCAGCAATATTTTCACTCCTTGTAACAACTGTAAAAATTACAAAACTTTGCAAAAAGTGCAAAATTTCTAGTTCATTTTCATCTTTTCTCAGTAATGGATACTAGAGTTTTTTTAAATTTTTTTTAAAGATTTTTTTCCTATTAATAATACTATTGCTAGGCGTATAAAATTAGAAACAAAAGAGAAAACTAAAGAGTACACCATAACTTCACTAATGTAGATTGATCTAAGTTACTTTATGTAAACTAATAGACTTTCTTTAGTGCATTTTCTCAATGGATTTTTTCCACTCTCTCTTAATCCAAAAAGAAAACGACATCAGCATGTTTAATTCTCCACTCCTTTATGTTTGATTGATGCCAGGTTATCAGAAAAACAATGATTCTTTCAGATGCACTGAAGAAAAGAAAATATTTGTTCCTTCCTTGCCCTCTCTCGACCTAAAGATCTTCAAAGTCACGGAAGAAATATTGAAATTTTCTCTGGAAAAACGGGGAGAAAAATACTCCCCCCCCCACACATTTTCCTCTACTGAACTTCAGGGATGAGTGAAATTTCCGCTTTTTTCCTCAATCATTCTAGTTTAAAATGGCGGGAAAACCGAGAGAAATTTTTTCTGGATGCCGAATAAATGGTACTGTACTGTAATATAATTTGGATTTATTACAATCCGCAAATTACTCTTTATCTTGAATCAGCCTATTTGGAACAGTAAAAATATACAAAGAAACAATATTTTGATTTTGATCTTTGAGCTAGAATATTCTTTAAATCAGTTTTGTTAAATTATTTTGATGTTTTTTTTTTTCTACATGAAAACTGTTCATTTCAGAATTTGCATTGTGTAATTTTTTGTTTGCGAATGCCTGTCACCTCTTTCTTTGAATCATGTATTATTTATTTTGCTTGTGTTATTGATTACGTTTGGATTTCATATTCTTCTCAATGTATAGTCTTGTGAGTAAACACAAGCAGGCATCTTCTAATATTTATCGTTAATTTTCCTATGTTTATGTGAAAGGAGTGGGAACTGAATCGCAAAGAGTGTGACATCACAAAGAAAGTAGTGAGATGGTTGTTTAGGGGAAAATTATTAGTCTTTCATAATGCAGGTATGGTCTTGAATATAAACGCTGCTCTAGTTTTACATAGGAAAATTTTACTGTTTCTAGTTATTTTTCATTTCTATTTGTACATTTTGAATATTTTAATAAACATTTTTTTTAAAGTCGTTTTTTTAGACCAATACAACAATGCAGTAAGATAATGTGTATCTAATAAATCAATAACTCTGACATATGTGCCATAGGATAGTGACATCAATTATATTGTAAATAAAATATGTTCATGCAAATTTTGAAAAAAAAATCAATACAAAATTATTAGTGTTTTTTCAATGCATGTTCAATGATTAATCAATAACTAAACATTTAACTTTCTTTCTATTAAATAAATTTTTTTGGAGTTTAACAAATTTACAATGACCATTTAATAATTCATCTCAAATATCCTACTAAAAAAAAAAAAAACTACCCCATTAAGTTTAAGTGAAAACAAATGAATTTTGAGCTTTGTTTGTGTTATTTCAGGTGTAAGGAAGGATTTATCCTGGATTCTGATCTGAAGAAGTGCGTAGACGTTAGCCAATGCCCTTGCATGCATGCCAATAAAAAATATCAAGAAGGTGACATTATTCACCAAGATTGCAACTTATGGTATGTTATGTATTAATTATAGTTTTATATATATATATATATATATATATATGTAATACAAAAAGTAAATGCTTTTGTATTAATAAAAGAATTAAATCTCTTTCGTTTTCATAAAATGTCTTTGTTAAAGAATAAGCGTAGAGAGATTCTATTTTGGGAATTCAAGGCTGAAAACATACCATTGAAATATAAATAGATTTATATTTCAAAGGAAGAGTTATTTTTAGAATCGTTTCCTTTTTGAATTCCATATAAGGAAGCAGAAATGATTTTCCTTAATGCGTAAGGTTACAAGGAATGTACGAAATGTGCATTTTTACCTCAAATCTATGCTGGTATAAAACGTAAGAACGCATAGTTTTGCGTGTCCTTTTCATCATGATGTGATCCTATTAAGCTGTGCCGGGATTGTCCGGAGTCTTGTCCATTCCCCCTCCTTTGCAGGAGTGGGGACATGAATTGTTAGCAATACCAGCCTACATTTAAATAAACCTGTTTAGAACGTCTGATGGCTTAAGACTGCAATTATTTCAAGCTAAAGACAACACTGATAACAGGGTTGTAGCCCTGTTATTACAAGACGGCAGGATAAATACTTTGGAGGAAATTTAAGATTTTCTATCTCTGGAACTAAGTGTAACGGAGGCTGACTGCTTCGTGGAAATTTTCCCAATTCCATCATCCCGGAGGAGAAAAAAATCGGCAGTGAAAAAAACGTTGAAGGAAGGAAGGAAGGGAGATTTTCCACCCGTACTACTTGTACCTCGTCGCGCCTGAAATGCTGATGTAGATGGAAGGAAGGACGATGGCTGGAGATTGTCCCCTGAAACCAGTGAAAGTATCCCATCCGATGACCCTACAATTCCATAGTGCCTCTAAGTTGGAAGAAACATCATCCATGGTAGTGATTCGACACCGAGTGATCCTACAATTCNGATCATAATTTTTGTACCAATTTAATGTCATATTTCGATTATCTGGGAAATTGGTATTCAGGTTGCTAGTTCAGTTACTTTTTTAAAGGAAGAAATTTTATGAGAATTTTATACTAATTTTCTTTCTTTTTTATTTTTATTATTTTTTGCAGCTGAAGCAGAGAAGATAACATTTACAAAAGATGAACCCATGCCTAAAACAAGTCTCTCTTCACGATTTGTTGTCTTTGAATCGGGCCTGTTTGTTATGATTTACACCGACATTGGTGTCACTATCAGGTGGAACAAGGGAACGCTCATCTATGTCACTTTGGATCCAAAATGGAGGAACAGGGTACTTAGTTGTTACTTTTCTACTTCTGTTTCTTTTTTTAAAAAATAAAATATTGAAATTATATAATTCATTTCCCTCGCGTAATACAAAATATGAAAGAGAAAAAAAGCTATTCTGGATTTGCTGCCTTTTTGTCAATGCACCTGTCTTTTCTTATCTAGCCTGTTCATGAAAAATGAAATGTCCAGAAATTACCTGACACTATCATCTATGTTTTAAATTATTGGAGTTGAATGACAGACAAAGAACAAAAATGTAATAGTGCTGTCTAATGCATGTTTGATTATTGTATATATTTTAATTATTGCATAAACTTATCTCAACCGATTTACCAAAGGAAGCTAAATTCAGAGATGACGACTTTTATGATTTATCTGTAATTACTACGATTTCATAGCCAGGATTACCTTAATAATCTTAACTCTTAACTAAGTAAAAAAATTACGAATTTTAAAATTTTTTGTATTAATCTGTTTAAAATAAGTTTTGTTTCCTTTAAGTATCAAGAGTTGTTAAATTTTGTTGTTCACAGCTAATCTACAGTATTTTTTTTTAACTCACCGTCTTTTCCAGTTTTGGCTTTATTGCTTGTTTCACGCAGCAATACTGCATCAAAAAGAGTTTTCAAGTTGATGAGGAAAAAAACGAAGGGTTTTATGCTTTCTCTATGAACTGAATTACTTATTTTCGCTCCTTATTGAAAAGCAAAAGAATGTATATTCAAATCTGAAATGCTATGAGTAAAAATGTTTGGAAGTTGAAATGAAAAATGATAAGAAGTCAACAAAGGCTAGTTCTATTTTTACAAAAAACTAGAACATAGATTGCAAGTAATCAATTTAATTTTATCATTTTATAATGAAGTATAAAATTTAAGTGTTACATATTTTTATATTGATAGCTTTACCTAAGTGTTATTTTCTTTTATTTAGTAGTAAATTCATGCATAATTTTATCAAAAATATATACCTTTTACATAATTAAACAGTACACACACCTTCAAGTTCTGCTTGTTTGCTAGTCACTGTGCTAATTTGAATTTCGTAAACTGTAACTATATATTTCTCTGTTATTGTACACTTTATTCATGTGTCACAGTCATAAAATAAATTTATATTTCTGAAGGAGCTTTGTTTTCCTGAGTTCAACCACAATGTAAATTCATTTTATTCATCTATCTATTTATTTAATGATGTTACTGGGTAAAGGAGGCCTATACTCGTCCATCAGTTTCAATTGTCGAGGTTTGGAAAAAGCTAATGGTTTATTTTGTCGAATCCAATTTTCGACTCCATGAACAATTCTGTCAGCTCTTATAAGTGTAAGGAAATTCTACTAGCTATTGGTGGGATTTAGATTTTTCACTAATTCAAACAAGCGATGGACGTGATGTGACCGAGTTGATACTATTGAAATTCTGTATCTTTCCTCATACAGCTGTATCAATACACGCCTTCCTGTATATTTCTGCACCAGCAACCTAACGCCTCTTGTATTCCTCCACCTTTTGCACTGGAACCACTACATGCATATATTGTATTCCATCACTTTTTGTAAAATTATTCTAAGTTAATTTGTTGTAATTTAGGTGCAAGGCCTTTGTGGAAATTTTAATGATGATCAATTAGATGACTTTTGCACTCCCTCTGGCAATTTGCCAGAAGTAAATGCCTCAATATTTGCTGACAGTTGGAAAATTCACGAATTCTGTCCCAAACCGCACACTTTCGAGGATATGTGTTCTATTCACCCTCACAGGAAAAGCTGGGCTCAACACAAGTGCGGAGTGTTGAAATCGGAATTGTTTTCACCTTGTCGAGCTGTTGTGAATGTGGAGCCATTTTATGAAAGGTAATATTTAAAAGAAATGCATAATTTAAAATATCTGTTCAAATGATAGTGAATTGTTATAATTTATTTAATCAAGAAAGTAATATGATAGCAATCTTAACTGCGATGAATGTACTAGATGTCTAGGACTGATCTGATTACTCCTGAAAATATTATTTGAATGTACATACCTGATTAAGATGTTTTGAAGTAAATCTCCATTTGCTGTTTTGTATTTCTGTATTAGGATGTGAAAGTTTTGAAAAATTGAGAATTTAACATTTTTAAACTCTTTCATTTGGTTTTAATTTTAACAAAAATCATAACTTATGAATGCCATTGATTAATAATGAAATCTTTTGGTATATGTCTATATCATGGATTTGCTAATATCCATTTAGACTCGTATTTCACCCATCGCATTTAAGTTTCACTTCTCAAAAATCATACTGAGAGTTAAGTTACTCTTGATGAGCTATTTTTTAAAATTGTTAGTTTTTTTTCATAGTGTTGATGAAGCATAATCACTTCAAAAATCAGTATCTTACATCCTTTCCTCATGTTGAAAAATTTTGGGGATAAAAAGCTTTAAAAAAATTAAGATATTTTATGTTTCTTTCTTAATTTTTTTTAAAAAAAAAGGAAAGAAAGTCTAGTGCATTAAAATTGAAAATTATGTGGTATAATGTCCCTTTTTTAAATACTTAACCAATAGCTGTTTACTAGCTTGTAACCATTTGTACTACTTTTTGTTTACTGGCAACTACTTGGAACTACTTGTTTACTTTGCATAGTTACTGTTTAAGTTATGTAATATGTTTAATATAAAAAATATAATATGTATTAGAAAATTATTATAATTTGCAAATATAATCTCTGTTTTGAATTCCACTCCTATGTTTATAATTTCACTTCTCAAAATTTATAGAGGCGTTGAATTACTCTCTAAAAATATTTTTTTTGGATATCACTGATTGGCTTAGTTTACTCGGTTGGTAAATTTTGTTCACTATACTAAAATTATTGATGTTCTCAAACTATGTTGCTCCAGACAAGACATAAAATTCTCTTTCTTGCATTATTTTATAAGAAACATTTCTGTGTAAATAAGTTCAAACACTCCTTATGTGAAGTTGAAATATGTAATAAGAAAATGTTCCTGTAGGTTTGACTTTTTTATGTATTATGCTACTCTTTTCAGGTGTATTTAAAATATTTCACATTTATCATTTGATATTTATCACATCTTAGCATTCAAATAATGGTGATGTTACAATGGTCGTAGATCAGAGGTCACAATTATATTTCAAAAATTAGTGTATATAACTCACTTGTCGTAGCAATGCAAGATTTTCACCTCTCAATCTCATCCCATTTACCTCGTAACCTGTTTCATGCTCACTCAATTAAATTTGTTTTCTTTTATATTATTTAAATGTGTACAGAAATTCTGATGATTTTTAGGTGTGTATTCGATACATGTGCTTGTGATGTTGGAGGTGACTGTGATTGCCTATGTACTGCTATTGCCGCATATGCACAAGAATGCAGTATGCATGGAGAGCCTATTAAATGGAGGTCTCAAGACCTTTGCCGTATGTATTTTGTTTTAGACTGTACTGTATTTTAGACTGACTGTCCAAAATCGGCTTAGGTGGAGTAACTAACTGAATCAAATTTTTTTTTTTTTTTAAGAAAAAGCAAACATACTATCTTAAAAGCTTCTGAATTTTTTTGTCTGTTAAATATTACAAATAATTCAACTGATGTTACATTGTTTTTTTGAGCCATAAAACATAATTAAAAGATTTTAACACAGTTTCATGCGTACTCTTAAAGAAAAATACTGAAAAAAATTTTTTTTTTCAAGCTTTGTTCATAATTTCCTTTGATTAATGATTCCATGCAAGTTTATCTTCGAATAATTTTTTTCTTAAGGAATTTATTTTTACTGACATTATGATGATGCATTTAATTGTTATGAAAAATTAGTTATGTGAGCGAGCTATCCTGAAATTTTTATAAATTAATTTGTATTTTCTTTCCAGCTATTCAGTGTGAGGAATGTTCTGTGTACGACAGCTGCATACCTCCCTGTCCGAAGAAAACCTGTGAAAACCAACTGAGGTACGACAAGATTCAAACATCTGCGTGTTCTACAGATTTTTGTGCGGAAGGTTGCCATCCGAAACCTTGTCCTGAAGGTCAGATCTATAATAACGAGAAAGAATACAAATGTATACCGAAGGAGGAGTGTGTAGTACCATGTCTTGAGGTAAATGGAGTTCTTTACAATGAAGGAGAGAGAATAAATGATGTTGAAGTAGCAGATCCCTGCCAATCTTGGTGAGTTTAACACTAAGAAAGTTAAGAAAAACAATAAGTTTCATTTATTGCGCTTAAGCTGCAAGTAAACAGCACTCATTAGATAAGTTCAAAATGAAGAATAAAATAAAGAAAAATTATAGACATATGAAAAAAAGGCGGGTGGGAAATAATAAGTAAAGGTAAGTAAGTAATAGTAAGTTTGTTATTTTTTTTTACTTATTATTTCCCACCCCCCTTTTTTTCACATGTCTATAATTTTTCTTTATTTTATTCTTCATTTTGAACTTATATATATATATATATATATATATATTAATTAGAATGTCCTTGATAGGTGGAAATAGGCAGGTTTCTGGCACCAGGTTATACATAATTATTATTCATTAAGACATATTCATGAAGAGCTAGTGACACAAGTTAAGTGACACAAAATCATTGTGCTCCTCAATAAAAGTTAGGAAAATCTTGCAGAGTAAATCTGTAAAAATTTTTCATTTTGGAGAAAAAGGGAAATCTTAATAATTAGAATTGGTTATTAAATAGGTCCAGGGAAAAAATCTTTCTCACGGTTTGTTAGCGGGATAAATGTAAAGTGTTAATTTATCAAATATGCTGCAGTAAATAAACGAGAAAAATAATTATTAAACTGATGAATGTCTGTTAAAGTCAATTGAAATAAGGGTAAGATTTTAAGAGTATTAATAATGATTAGATTGTTAAATGAAATTGAAAAGCTTTTATAACAGCGTTTTTCTGCTTTGCAGTTTCATTCACCCTATCTTATTGGTTTTGATGCTTTTAAACCCATTTTTAATATAGTTACCTCGATTTTTTTTTTTAAATTTTGATAGTTATTTTTTGCCATTGAATTATATATTTTTCAACTTTATTGTTTGATAACGATTTTAAATGCATAGTTAAAAGGCTGGTTGTGGAATTTGTGTGAGAAACTGCTTAATGTCAAATCATGTGAAATTTTAGTAACTTAAAACAATTCTTACAGCCATTGTCAACACCGAGCCATAACCTGTTCCGGAACACCGTGCGTTAAGAATGAACCTTACAGGGAATGCATAAAAACTGGATGGACAGATTGGATGAACACACCAAGTTTTGTTGGTGGAGATTACGAGAAACTCAGTAACCCATTATTAAAAAAAATGTATGAAAACTTTTGTGGCGTTACCAATATGACTGCTATTGAATGCCGTGTGGCCAGTACCAAAATTCCTCACGAAGAGAGTGGACAAAATGTCTTGTGCCAGTTACCACATGGACTATTATGTTTAGACAGCAATCAAAAGCGTAGAATTTGCGAAGACTATGAAATTAGAGTATTTTGTGATTGTGGTAAGTACTCTCTCATTTTAATCTATTTTAATCTATTTAATTTTTTTTTTAATTTCTTTTTTTGGTTGGTTAAATAATTACAAACTGGTGACTGACTGGTAGGTCCTGGTTCGGTCCTCTGGCCGGGCAGCCTCTCATCCTTTCAAAGGGGTCTATTAAATGAGTACAAAACATGCTTGGGGACTAAACACTGGGGGATCCGCATTTGGCTGACCTCCAAACCCGAACATATAATCCTATACTCCACAGCCCAAGGTTAAGACAAGTGAGTTGGGCACAATAGGCCTTGACCCTCTATGGGCTATCGCCCCACTGAGCTTAGTTTAAATAACTACGAAAGCTATATTTAATCAGCCTACTTTAGACAGCTAGACAATACACCCGAGCGTACATTAGAGTGCTGCTTATCTAGATGCCAGTTAACTGAATTGTCCTCTTAACCATATCACCTTGTTTTATCTATACTTTCCATAAATTAATCTAAATCCCTGCATTGAAACAAAGAACTGGAAAATACAGTGAAATTACAGATTTAAATCCTACCAAACAGTTAGTCTCTCTTTGAAGAGAAATAAAATAAAAATTCATTAAAGAAACTATGCACATAAAGAATTCTATTAACTAGCACTAGATTTAACTAGAATCTGCACTAATTAATTAGCATATTTAAGGCTACCCCTTCAAACCATTAAGATTGAGCAAATGAAGATCCAATCGCTAGTTCAAAAGTTGTAGGAGTGAAGTTATTCAGAGTATTGCAGAGTTTTTTCACTTTACAAAAACATTAATTCTATCTGAATTTTGAACTTTATTTCTAGGGCCACCACCAACACCAGAAACTGAGCCACCCTTAGCAGCTGTTTGCGAGAGTACAGGGTGGACTCCCTGGATGAGCAGTCATTGGCCGAATGTGGAAGGAGAGTCCGAAACTTTAGAGAGATTAAGATACAATCATGAATTTTGTGCAGAGGAAGAAATTGAAAATATAGAATGTCGTGAAACATTGTCATGGAGGTATTCATCAGAAGAGGAAGTTGTTTGCAACAAGAAAATAGGTCTCGTCTGCAAAGGTCCCCGCTGTCCTGATTATGAAGTGAGAGTGTTTTGCAACTGCAAGAAAGAAGGTAATCCACCATTCTTTAAATTTTTCCCTTAAAAGAAACGTTAGAAATTTTGAAAACAGATTACATAAGCATAGCTGTCTGCTCTTCTGGATTTTTCAGTAGACTACTGGATTTTGCCAGTTTCTCCTGATCTACTGCTTTAATATAAATTCTCCTGGTTTTCGTGAATTTTTAGAAATGCGTCTAAAAAAAATTTTCTAAAAAAAACCCCGTTGAAATGGCATTTTTGCACAGATTATTGCTTTCTTTGAATATTTAAATATGCATTACTGACAGATAATGAAGCGGGCCTCATTTACTGAAAAAGTTAAAATGTTCAGTTTGTTTTCAGAACTCCCTTTTTAAATTATCAAAAACTTCTTTTAACTATCTCGGAGGAATAATTATTCAAAATTATGAGTTAACATAATACATAACATTTCAAATTCATTTAATGTCAATCATAATTGGAAAATATTGCAGTTTTTTCTATTTTGATGACTATAAGAATCTCTGAAATTCCCATGTGTAAAATATTTAGTACATCATGCATATCATGAAGATTATATTATTTTGTAAAATCTAATGGATTTTTACCCACCTATGTTGGCAGCTATGCATGAGAAAACATACAGACGAACTTTTTCTCTCTCCATACATTTAAAATAGGTAGCTGAAAATTGAATGAAAAAAATGGTGAATAGTATTAAAATTCTGGAACAATACGATAGCTGCAAGTGACGTAGTGTTCTTTCGCAATTGTTCTTTCCATTCCATTTCGAGTAAACGAAGTCTGCCAAATATCAATTCTCTTAAGTGACACATTCTAAATTCTTTCACAAAGATTTTTTTCTCAAAGATTTCAATTCTTTCACTATATATTTACACAGAGACATAACACAAAGACAGACACGAAGCCATGTGGAACATAAACAAACTAATTATGCATCGTTGTTGGTACACAAAACAAAAATGTATCATGGTTGCAATATTTAATTCATGTCAGCACTGTGGTCCGGCTTGCACGGACCACAGTGCTGACATGAAATATCCTCAGTGGTAGACGGATCATGAGTTAGAGTCCCCTTGCTGTCAGGATAACCATGGGAGGTTCTCATGGTCTTCCTTTCCATGTAACGTAAATGCGGATTAGTTACATCAAAGAGTCCTCTGCGAAGGCAAATTTCTCCCAATACTTGATGCAGGAATTCCCTTATCTTCTGGATTGGGTTCAAAATTAGAAGGCTATGTAGTTGAACATTAGTAGTCGTAAACCCAAAATTTGGGTCGGCTGTTCGACGGTTATATTATAAAATAAAATAAAGATTAGCTGCAGCTGTCATCATTCGTCACGTGTGGGTATGGGAGGTCTTCTTCTCGAAGTGCAAATACCCAATTATGTATGGGGTTAAAAAATATTTAAACTTTCCCTCTAATTTTTCAACTGTTAATGTGGCTGAAAAGAACTGTACTGCACTGCATTTCTTTTGTCTCTCTGTTTATGATTAAAAATATTGTATGTTTCGCTGATAACATGCAATTCTGAAATCACTATAAATGTTATGCTCCTTTTAGCTATAGAAACTACACCAACTGTAGCAAGAGGTTGCGTGAGTGGCTGGACGGAGTATTTCAATATTGATCATCCAGATCGAAGTGATATGGGTGATGATGAAAGCCTTAATGAAATTCAAAAATTTCATGAGTTCTGCGTAGGGGGAACACTTAAAGATATTGAATGCAAAACACTGCAGAATGGAGAACTCCTAGATTATGCATCTCTAAAGAACGCATTTGGTCTCAAATGTTCTCTCAAGGAAGGATTTTTGTGCAATAAATACACACGTCCGGAACCCTGTGAGGATTTTATGGTGCGTTTTCTTTGCGAATGTGGTGAGTATTTTTTTATCTTTTTTTCCTAACCTGAATTATTTTTGCCATAATTTTTTTAAAACTTTTTTTTTGTATCAAGTTAACTCGAATCCCCCCCAAAATTTTTTACTTATTATTTTTTTTAATTACTTGCATTATTAAAACTAAATACCATCAAACAAACTTGAAACGAGATTTTCTAAAAAAAACATTTCTATTAGCCAGTGAGCAACAATGGATGGTCGACTGAATGTAAACAATAACAAGTTTCCTAAAACCAGAAGAAATTTAGAAAACTTCTGTATCCCATATTTTTTTAAAAACTTTTTTGCCATTTTTGTTTTGTAACAAGCTAACAAGAATCCAAAAAAAAAAAAATTTTTTTTAAGAAAATAAAATTCGAGGATGTGTGAACAGGCTTAATATTCTAGGAAGTTTTAATTATTGTGATTGGTGTTTAAATTTATGCATAGATTTTACCATTAATAAAAGTTTACTGTAATGCATAAATTCTAACAAGTTGTGAACCTAAAACAAATTTAAGAAAATTAATATCACGACATAAAGTGTAAGGTTTGCCATGTTTTGTGTGTGATCCTTCATTTGGCGACATTTGTGTAAAATAGCACCCGTTCTAATATTTTGTGTAGCATCATAGCAAGCTTGCGGAGTCTTCCGAATTCTATTTGTTGTTTTCGATGAAATTTAAATTGAAAGAAGGCATTATATTGTACACACTACAAGTATAATAATATTGGATAGCACCCTTTTTCAAGCATAGGCGTAAAAATCAATCAGGAGTGTTAACCCGAAAGTCTGATGACGAATTTAAACCCCTAGCACCATTTCCACTCAGCTTTACATGGTCAAACCATCCATTTCATTAACATTGCCATGTTAGAAAAAAAACTAAACAAATCCAAACCAAAACAGATAACACTAGATATGAAAGGATCTTTGTTTTTCATTTTTTATTTATGTCTGGCTTTGCACCAGGTTCATAATGAACATTTTCAGTCACTTTATGCTTAAATTCTTTTTTGCTGTTACTTCAACAAATAATATAGGAAATACTTCAACAAATAATATTTCTATTAAGAAATAATGAATATGAGCTCTTTATGTACAATTTAACTGCCTGTTGCTGTAAAGATAACCTCTCTTCATTTAATAGGGGGTTGACTTTTTTAGATAAATAAGTGTTACATGACTCATCCACATCAGTCATGACTCCTTTTTGTTCTTGTGCCTGACTTACTTTTTTGTACCACCATTTGATTTCGTTACCTTCCTTTTGTAAATAATATCATTTGAGTTTAACACATTTAAGCTTGATCTTGTACTTTCTGCTTAGTTCCATGTTATTTTGCAGTTTATTTTGAAAGTTCATTGGGTATATTTCCTTTCACCAGGCACAGAAATTAAAGTTTTTTGTTTCAAATACTAAACTAAACAAAATGACTATCACTAAAAATATAACACTTTAGTTGAATTTACTTACATAACATAAAAATACTGATTATTCAACCTAATTTCTTAGACTTTCATACCAGATCAAAAATTTGATATTTAGACGAATGTATCATTCTGTTAACTTATATGTTTTCCCTTCATTACCTCTTCATTTACTTTTTATTCGTCTCACTTGACTCACAAATTAACTCTCTACGTTTTCATTTATTCAGTGATATAGAATTTAAATATTTTGCTTGCAGTATTGTTATCAAAAAATTATGTGTTATTTGCACAGTTTATCAAAAATCTGGTTGTTTAATAAAAAAAATCAAATTTAAATCAAAATATTTTTAATTTTTTTTCAATTTTTATTTACCAACGCTGATTACAAGAGTGAGCAAAATTAATATTCGAATACAATTTTGTTTATTTCAGAAAGGGAAGCCAGGATTTTAACTCCAGTACCGCCAACTCCAGTTCCAGTTGAATGTGGCTGGACTCCTTGGTTAAACATCGATACACCAGATGATGGAGAGGGGGATACGGAAGACATATCGGCAATACAAGTAAAATATTATTATTTCAATTCTGTGAATTCTAAACAAAATAGTGTAAAATAAGACAGAACTTATACACAGTGGTCTGCCTAGGGCAAATTTATCATTTTACATACATGGAGAGAAAAAAATTAATTTTTTTACAAAAATCCTACACTGAGAACTGTTTAATGTTTACTTTGTCTCTTTAGACATTCTATAGAACTAATACACAGATGTCTGCCTAGGGCAAATTTACTATTTTACATATGTGAAAAAAAATGCAATTATTATTTACAAAAATCCTACATTGAGAACTCTTTAATGTTTACTTTGTTCCTTTAGACATTGTATAGAACGTGCGGCGGAAAGGATCTCATTGACATTGAATGCAGAGTGTCACAAAATCTGTCTCTACAAAACAATATAGTATGCGACACAGTCCATGGATTGCACTGTAAGAATGATGACCAAATTGAAAAATGCTACGACTATGAAGTCCGTTTGCTGTGCATGTATGATTGGTGCTATCCTCGTAAGTTTACTATACTCTGTGTAACAGTTTTAAAAGCATGAAAATTTTAAGAAATTTTTTTTTCTCCTTTTGCTATCAAGAATTATGAAATTTTGCTGTCTGCAACTAATCTACAATACTTTTTCTTAATCTTTACACAATTCTAGAAACTATAAATAAAAATAGAAAACAATTTGATAGAAAGAAAATATGTGAAAAAGGCAAAGAAATATCTTTACCTCCAACACGCTAATCTGAAACTTTCCTTCTTTTAGAAAGGCAAAAGTACACGAACTCAAATCTGAAATGCTGTGAGAAAAAATGTTAAGTGGTCCTTATGCAGGCTAATGAAAAGGCAATAAAGGATATATAAGACAATAGTTATATAAATTAGGCAATAGTTCTAATTTAGCTGAAAACTGAAATATTTATTATTAGTAATAAATTTAATTATATCATAATGAAGTATAAAATCCCAAGGACACTGGAATTTTATAACCGATATTTTTATTTTTTATCCCTACGAGACAGTGTTAAAGGTATTAAATTGTAAAATTTTTAATTTAGTACCTTTTTCTAAGTGTTATTTTTTTATGTATCTAATAATAAATTCATTTATAATTTTTTTAATGTAGAATTTAGTAGTGTATACACCTTAAAATTTAGCTAATTTGAGTTCCGTAAATGCTAACTGTTACATAGCTCTGTGTTATTGTACTTATGATTACTGGTAGCAAATTTAGAAAGTCGGCACCTTTGTTTTCCTTATATTTTAGTTGCACATAAGTGAGCTACCTTATTCACCATACTTGAATCTAATTCAGGTTTTGTTTTGTCCACCTGAGAGACAAGGGTTTGTGCTCGTAAGAATTTAGTATCCCTTAAGATGTTCTTTTTGAGGAAATGGGACATGCTGAGGCCTATAGCAGGTACACTTTTAAGTGAAGACAAAAACAGTCACTTTTTTGAAAATTTATATAAAAATTTGCTTGCGTCCAAATTATTTCTTTTCACCCTGTAAATTGATGGGGGAAAAACAGTAATGAGTTTTGTAAAATTCCTTTAATCGTTAAAAAACACCCTTGTAGAATACCATGTTTTTAACTTGAGTTCATTTATGCAGAAAAAACCATTTCATCTGATGGTTAGGAATATTGAATAGAGAAATGTTGTACTGAAAAAAAAGGGATTAATTAACATTGTAAAGTCAAAAACAGGTGGCATTAGTGGCGAAAAAAAATAAGGAGGCTTCTGGGATAGTATGTACGATTATTTTTCACACCAAACATTAGAATTTCAACAACATTAAAACATTCTGCAAACATTTCAAAGAATTGTATCACTCCATTAAGAAGTTATTCAATACAGTCTGTTGTTTTTCTGACTTTTTCAATAGTTAGAGTAATATTGAGTTGAAAGCAAAATAATCTCATTAAGAGATGATACGTCATCAGCAGATTTAAATATCCCAACCTTTTAAACATTTACACTAAATAGTTTGATTTTTATTTAATTCAATATAGTCATTATTATATACAATCAATCATGTAACAGAGTCAATGTTATTCTTATGCATAGAAATTACCATTCTGTGTGTGAATTATAATTAATCATATCTCAAGTGTTGATTATGACATTAATATGTCGTTATGTTTAATTTTTTATTTTTATTTTCAGCGACTACAACGCCGACACCAACAACTACTGAAAGTAAGTATTTTTTTGTATTTTATGGAGTTTTCAAATCAAATCAGTAGTTTTAAATCAGTTCTGAATCCAGTTTAAGAGGATGCCATACCACGAAAGAAAATATTCGTTGCAAATTCTCTTTCTCTTTCATTTCTAATTTAAAATTTAGAAGAGAAAAAAAAGCAAGTTTAAGCAAACCTAGAGTAAGACTACTTATTAGAAGAGAACTTCTTTGTTGCATAATACTAAGTTATCTTCTCATAATTTATTTTTATTTGTACAGTAGAGAACCGATTATCCGGAACGATCGGGAGGAGGTCTGTTATATTTTGAGTTNGAAACTAAAAAATTATTTTGAAATAGTTTTAGAAATAATAAAAAATTATAAATAATAATACACTTAAGTTTAAATAAGGAAAGAAATTATGAAATAAAAATTATATACAGGCTTACATATGTTATTAATGTTATTATTAACATTAATAACATATGTAAGCTATTTGTGCTTATGTGAGATTCGTCTACAAACGGCTTTTGATCCGTCCTCTAAATCAGTTCTTTCGTCAACTCGATACGCTGTACGCTCTAAATAACAAAATGGGCTCAAAATCTTGCAGGAAATTTTTTTTTTTAATGGAAGAAAATTAATTTCCGGTTCCGAATTTCATTCCGGTTATATGGTTTTCCGGTTTTCTGATTTCCGGATAAGAGGTTCTGCATTGTATTTGAAACTTCATGGCTTACTCCAGGTTTGTCTCAACTTAGTTTTTCTACATTTTAAATTAGGAAATGACGGAGAAAGATATTTGCACGGAAAATATTCTTCCACGGTATGACATCCTCTTAATTAGACACTTTATGTTCTAAGCTTCTTTATCTCCTTTTTAGATTAATAATAAGGAGAAGTTAAATTTTTGAAATTATTAAAATTTACTCATTTTATTGAACAATAATTGTGTTTTCAAAATCATAATTCCCCTGAAGTCATAATTTCATTCAATTTTTCTCTTAATCATTAATTAGGGGTAAAAGTATTCAAGCTTTTAACAGATTTCAGTTTAAACCTTTAAAATTGAGTGAGATAGAACAAGATAAAATTTAAAAATTAATTACTTAAAAAGTAATTATTAATAAGGAAAAAAAAGTCTTTAACTCTACCTTCATCTTGGTCCTTTTCCGCTATGTACTAAGGAAATAGAAATCTAATAGCTTTAAAATAATTAAAAAAAATTACTCGTATTTCGAGACAGTAAGCATCATAAATGATATCACATGTCCACTTGAAATTTAATGTAAAGTATATTTGTACAGTGTGTCAAAAAAAAAAAAAAAAAAAAAAAAAANAAAAAAAAAAAAAAAAAAAAAAACAGATTACCCTAAATAACTTTTGATTTAATGATCAAATCTTCTAGCTCTAGGACTCAATCTTAATCGTTTGAGGGAGTGACTTCAAATATGGTAATTAATAAGTGCAAACAATATTTTAAATTATGAAATCAGACATAAAAACGTACTTGCTCCGAATAAACATACCCTTTTTTTGAAGGATTCGGATACCTGATCACTAAAATATAGGGAGTAGCCGCAATCTGGGAAATATGGACTCCATGCACATGATATGGTCAGGAGACCGATCCGAAGTCCGGGCCCCTTAATGTCTATTTCACCATGTCTCTAGAACTCTTTGAGTGAATTGAAAAGTTTTTGCTCACAATTATAAAAAATGTTTTTCCAAAGGTGCAAGAAATAAATTTTAGTAAATGTTTATTATTTTATTTAATAATAGCCGAAAATTTTTTGAATAGTAAGGTAAGCAATTTTTTACTTTATTTTAAGGTATGTAATTTTAAATGACAATATACAAAGTTGGAGAGAAATCAGTCGAATAGTTCCTGAGAAATCGAATTTTGAAGAATTTGTATGTGGTATTCGTATTAAAAATGGATTTAACAATTGAATAAAATACTAATATTGTCTTGTATGTATGTTCAGAATTGCAGCTATTATCCAAATAAAATTCTGAAAAATAAACATCAATCTCAAATAATAATGCATACTGTGCAATATATTTTGTTATTATATTAAGAGAATCAAAACAATTTTTCCCACAATATTAAAATTCGTTTATCCAAAGAAGATTCCATGCAAAAAGTAATTTTAATAATTATTTATATTTTTTTTATTATTTTATTTAGCAATAGTTTAAAAATTTGAGGAATTTTGTGAGACATAAAAATTTTTACATCATTTTAGAGAATCTAATTTTATTAAAAAAAATACAAAATTTCAACAAAATTGGTCAAATAATTCCTGACAAATCAAAATTTAAAGAGGTTGTATATTTCAAATTCAACATCTCAGTAACTATTTGACCAATTTTGTCCAAATTTTGAGTTCTGCCTCATAAAATTGCATTCTTCGTAATGGTGTGAAAATTTGTATTTATTATAATTTAATAATTTTGCTACTATTATTAAATAAATTAATAATAAATACTTGTTCAAAGTTATTTTTTCTATGGAATTGTCTATGGATTGATAAGTTTTACAATTGTGTGCAAAAACTTTTGGATACACTAAAAAAATTATCAAAATATAATGAAATATACAAAAAGTTGAGATTAAGGGGTTTCAAACTTAGAGCTACTCCCTTTGCTCAAACCATTGGAACCTATTTCCTAAATTACAATTACTAAATCTATTTTGGGAATCAGAAATTCAATCCATAGAATTAAAGGTATGTTTATTCATTAAAAGTAAGTTTTTACACCTGATTTTGTGACTTAAAATATCGTGTGCACTGGTTAATTAGCATATTTGAGGTCATCAACTCGAACCATTAAGATTATATCTTAGTATGTGAAAATCTGATCATTCGATCAGAAGTTATTTAGAAAGATTTTTGGGCACTGTGCATAATGCAATGTCTGAAATGCTGGATTAATTATGATGTATTTATGTGTTACTGTTAGGTCCTTGTGCACCTGGTTTTGTGTATGATGAATGTGCCTATAACTGCAGTCAGATGTGTTCTCCATTTGTGAAGGAGTTGACAGAAAAATGCATTGTGAGGGATTGCATCGAAGGCTGTAGGCCTGCAAAAGGCTGTCAATTACCCAATGTTTGGAGAGATTTCCACACATGTGTCAATAAAGAGGAGTGTACTTGTGTGCTCGACAATGAAGAAATTCTAGGAGTAAGCTATAACTAAATGTTAATAAAAATTATTTTTAATAGAATTCATTGGAAGCTTAGGAGGTCACAAATAATACTATTTTTAGTTAAGGCCAAACACTGATTTATCAAATTCACTGCCACCCAAACTTTTAATCATTAAATCGGGAGCTATTATTCATAATTTTGAGATTTAAAAAAAACAAATTCTGTTCTTTTCATCGCAGTAAAAGCAATTCTTCTGGACCAAATAAAGAAAAGTTATTAATCTTTTTTATGCATATAAACGTTGTTGAACAGCCAACCCAATTTTTTGGGTTTACGGCTACTAATGTTTAACTACGTAGCCTTGTAATTTTGAACCCAATCCAGAAGACAAAGGAACTCCTAGATTAATTATGGAAAGAAATTTGCTTTCATGGACGACTTTTTGATTGAACTAACACGCATTTGCGTTACATGGAGAGGAAAATCAAGAAAGCATCTCAGGGTTAGCCTGACGACAAGGTTACTCTAACCCAGGATCCTTCTACCATCGAGGATATTTTACGTTGGCACTGTGGTTGGCGAGAGCCGGATGCGTAATTCGTATTGACCAGCTATTGCTGGATTTTGAACCTGGTTCACCTCATTGGAAGGTGAATGCTCTATCCCTTGAATATAATACGTATCTTCTCCTCTATTGCTTAGCTTTATTTTAAAAAGATTTTCATTTGATAGAATATTGTAAAGCCGGAAGATTTTAAACTAGCTACAGAAACAAAATATGTATTGATCCAACAAGTTTTAGAACTGTATAAAATAACCACTTATTTCACACAGAAATTTTTGCTGATTAAAAAAAAAACTCTTTTTAAGGCAAATAATTGTTTATCGAAGTTAAGATTTAAACAAAACGAAGAAATATATTTACTTATATTTATTGGATAAAAATCAATGATGTCTATCTAAATTTTTTAGATGTTACTCTTTATGTAAGGTGAAAATTATTCCAAAGGTATTATAATGCATATCACTCTGAACTTGTCAAAAAATGAACTTTTTGTTTTGTTTTCTTTTTATATTGCTTTTATTTTTAAGTTTTTAATAAGTTTCTTAATTTCATTTTCTCAAGTAATAGTGAAAGTCTTAAGATTCGTTGTGTTCAATTTCTGTAATAATTATGATAAAAAAAAATTTCTCTTGTATTTAATTTTATTTTTGTGGTATTTGAAATCAAATATAGTTTAGGTAAATTATATGTACAATTTGAAGTTAGCGATGGAAATCTAGTGCTAAGAGCTACAAAAGAAAAAAAAAAAGAATTTTTAGCTGATGTAATTACGCCACTTGCAATATATATTTTGTTCTAAAATGAATCCATATATGTTTATTCTAAAAACAATGATAAAATATTCGTATAAATTTATAAATATAAAGCTTTTGAATTATCACTATACTCTGTTGCAAGTTAAGAAGAAACCATTATCTCTATGTAGAAAACAAGTGCAGGTCAAATGGATGCCAAGCTCCCAATGCGAGCGTATATCACTGTCGCCAACTGTTAAAACGATGTTGCACGACTACCTTTTTTGCTTGTTTTCATATTTAACAGTTATTAACAGCAATAATCGACTAACAATAAAAATTAATAAAAATGATATCTAAAAATCATAACAAATATTCGTCTTTTGGTTTGAATTTAAGGAAACTGATGAAAGAATAATAAATATTGTTTCGCACAGATTATATTCCTCTACAGCGAAACAAAAATAAAAATTCTTTTCCCCGCATTTGATTTGAAAGAGCCTCTCAGCATAAGACGGACCATTTTTAGTGGTCCAATTAAATTCAATGCTCTTGAAACATCATATAGTTGTTTCTTTTCCAAGAACGAGCGTTCTCCTTATTTATCAAAATATTTCGCCAAGTATAGGATTCCAGTAAGGCTACAAAACTATCGCCTTTTCGTAATAATTCTTTGATATATATGCATATAATGTAAAAGATAGCACGAATTAAATTTCTTCCCAATGTGTTTAAGTTTTAAAAGCTTTTAAATTATTTTGAAAATATTTGTGTAATTTTATAAAGAAATGAAACAGGACTATATGATATGCAGTTGCGGATGATTACTTAAATCCTATACTGCAATGGTCTTTTCTAAACTTGCAACTGAGTATAGTTTTGGAGACTAATGGAGTAACTTTCTATTTTTTTAATTTTTTTTTAGCCTAATCAAGTGGTTGAGAAAGATTGCGAAAAATGTCAGTGTGTTCATGATAATATCCACTGCTATAAAATACCAGGATGTGGTGAAACCATACCACCACAATATTGTAAGGCTCTCATATTTTATTTACTTTTTTCATATTCTAACAAATTTTCACTAGAATTGTTTCAACTGAAGTGGTATTGATGCGTGAATATTTTTTCTTCACATTTTTTCACCTCGTGTCTATTTTGCTGAAGACATTGGGAAAATCTTGCCTAAAATAAGCATTGTTTTTTAATTTCTAACTTTTTAAAGTAACTGAGGCTGTAACTGTGGATTAATTACTTACATTCTTCTTAAAAATACATTGGTTAAAAGAAGAAAAAAAACTGTTTTCCAACTCCAAAAGTAAATTACTATTTATAATTCCAATGCAATTTCATTAAACTCATTCAATTTTTAAATAATTACTTGTTTTAAATAATTGAATTTTTTTATGATTTAATAATTTAAATTAATAATTATACATGACTGTTTAATTTATTACTTGTTGTCTTCTGAAAATCCATTATGGTAATTTTTATGAATAAGATAAACTGAACAAAAACCTTTTTGAATGTCTCTTTAGTAAAATTTTATATAAAGCACGACTGGGAAGCGATGCAAAATCTGTTCTTATGTGGAGAGAAAACAGATTGTCAATATCAGCAAGATTTTTTTTTTACAGAAGATCGCCTAGTTTTTGTAAACTTTGTCTGTGGGGGGTAATTGCAAAATTCTTTTAAAGTTGCTTGATTGCTAGATCAGTTTTAGAAAAATATATTGAATTGTTACTGTTCACTTTTGAAAAGTAAAGTTTTGAAACAAATAATAAACAGATCATTTCCATTCTGTTCACAGATAAGAAAAATCTATTTGAGATCTTTAGACAAAAATTATTGAGATCATTTTGAAAGTTTTCTAGAATTTTATTAATTGATGCATAGTGAATGGGTCGAAATTTATAACATTAAATTTCTTAGTTCTAAATTTACTATAATATTTTAATTACCAATTACGATGTGTTTATGATGTTTATCAACAAATTTACAATCTTTCTCTTCTTCACAGTGACATTCATAAGCAGATTTATTAATTTTCCCCAAACATTTTCTAATTTCATTATAATTGAAAATAGCCCTGCCAAAAATTTTATATACTTAGCTTTTAATTATGTTAAAATCTTTAAATCTAAACAAAAAATTTTAATTTGTCAAATACATAATGAAATCTAAACATATAAAAAATAGGGTTTTAAAAGCCAGTAAAATATAAGTTATCTAAATTTTTGTTTTTATTTGGTAAATTTTTTTACTCGTTTAATTTATCTGTAGTAAATTTTAGCTTTCTCTAGATAGAATTAAAGAATTGTAAAACGTAAATTAGTAAAAGAAAAGTTATTATAAAGATCTTGAAGCCTATCGAAAACATAATCTTTTGTTTGTTTAATATTGTAATTACCTCAATTTGTGCGATTATCTCAAATGTGAGAGAGTAGCGGACTAATTTTTAATTTTCTTTGTTTTTCTTTATAAATGTCTCCTTTCTTTAATTTTTTGTCTTTATTGTGCAATATATATATATATATATATATATATATATNTTTTTAAAATTTAAGGAGATAATATTTGTATTAAATTCCAAAAAAAAAAATTTGTACAGTGTTCTACCATTTTTAAAGAATATAAATTTTCTGCCTTACCCATAACTAAAAACATTAATCTATTTCATTGCTAAAGAATCAATCCTTCTGTCACCTTTTTTTATCTTTGCTAAGAAAGAGAAAACTGTACTGCACATGTGAAATATTTTAGATAGTGGTATCTTTTCATCTCAACGACAAGCTAAGAGACCCCACAAGCTGAAATGTCACATTAGATGCCTCTTCAGGGCAGAAAATTCCTTTCTTTCAATTTTGTTCCTGTGTTAACACGGCTGGGTTAAAAAAAAAGGAAAAATAAATCTAGTCATTGAGTGTTCATATAAATGAAACTTTCATTCAGATGCTTGACAAATGATCAATCGTGAATATTAGGGCCTAGTGCCTTCCAGGTATATACTGCTGCTTTCGTTTCTCTGTGCATCATAGGAGGTTTATCATTGACAGGGGTGTTTGTGCTCCGGGGAAACACCGGAATTTCGGGGATCGTCGTTCAAAAGAAAGTAGAAATAATAATGAATTATTTATTTTGATCTGGGTAATTTTGTTTGCTTTGAAAGCTTACAGGGCTTCAAGTGCTGTGCACATTGCGCATTTTGCGCCAAACCGGTATATTTGCGCATTACTGCGCAGAAACGGCATTTTATGTTAAATTTGCGCCGAATCTGCGCCAAAAAATTTTCGGGGACCAACTAAACATTGCCAAATTTCAATAGCATAAGAATTTTTTTTCTTCTCTTGTTGATTTCATCGTTATTGAAGTGCCATCGTCTTCGTCAATGGCAAGCTAATGGCCTTCTTGCGCTATTCTATTTATAGATAAGTACCATGATCTTTGAATTAACTAGGGGACCATCCACTAAGTACATATTTTCATGTTGATCCTCAGAACAATCAAGAATTACAAAGCTTCATAACTTCAAACTTTCCATCTCCCTTTTATTCATTTCATTTAATAAAGATAAGAATTAATTGAGTTTCATAACGTAAATTTTTTATCTGAGGGACCATCCACTAATTGCATATTGTTTTTAAACAATTATTTTACTTTATTACTTTT